ATAAATAGAAAAAAATGGGGTAAAGCACGAGTATTTTAACAAGAGTAAGAGTATTTTGAAATCATAAATATTACGGCCTTTCGAAACATATATAACCGAACTCTGCTCAGAATCGTTTTTCGTTAGTAATGATTAATCTTTGCCGTAAAAATATACATTAAATTTCTCCTCTACTTTCCTAACTCCTCCCCTACAATAGTAGCCCACCCATCGAGTGAAGTATGTCGGATTGTTTTTTATTTTAAATAATCTTTAGCTCACAAATAGGTATATAATACAGTTTTAATAATAGTTTATAATACTGCATGTACTTATATATACTGTATAGTAGGTGTATTATATAAATCAATATGTGTACACATATAGGTGTTCATAAAACTACAACCTATTGACTTTTGAATTCTTTAATGTTACTTCAATAAATATATATTTAAACGCTATGGGTAATATAAAAATCGATTATAATTTAATTCTATATAACTAAAGAACATAAAAATAATAATAGTAATTTTTTTTAAAGAACCCCTTTGAAGCAGTTCAAACAAGGTGAGCCTAAGAATTTTTAAATTACTCTCACAAAAACAAAAACAAAAATCTATTACTTTGCGGCAGTTTTGTACATCATCGCTATGAAGTTTTTTATAATGAGACCTCAGGCCACTATTGTAGAAGAAAAGTTAAGATATATAGGAAAATGAAATTTATACAATGTAAACTGTTTCAGTATAAAAATGGTACCACGGCGCTCAAATAGGCTTAAAAAACTCACTCAAATAATCTATGTATATTTTAAGGTAAAAAAGACTACCAAATAAACGACTACCAAAAAATCACATATAAATCACCATTATGGAATTGTGCGGTGATTTTTCGAAACTGAACAACTTCTTCAATGGCGTATTCAAATCTGCAGGAAAAATATTTATAATAATATTAATGCTTATATTATATTAGGCTCAAATTATCCAAATTATTCAAATCAAAGATTTAAATCAACGTTGGCTTGGTTCCACTCAAATAAACACATCGAACACAAGGTATCGATATAATTAAAAATTTATATACCTGATACTATAGTGTACATTTTAACAGTGCGATAATAACACCTACAGATTATTTTTGTAAACTAAAACCCAAAACAATTATGATTTTTTATATTTACAACAAAATTCAGTTACCCCGATATTTCAAGAATATTAATCATGTCCTCGCCAGTCCCTCTTACATAATAGTGCGCCCATTATTCAATATAATGAAATATTTCACTACTTTTTTTGCACCGGATTCGACAAGAACATTAAATAACGCATTCATTATACCTTCAGTAGTATAATCCCATGAAAAAAAAAAAAAAAAAATGATTTAAACAGTAGTTATGAAATTCAATTTTTTTTCTTCAGTCTAAAACAACAATTTATTATTTTCCATCCATTTTTTTTGCATTAAATTATCTACGTTAACCACCGGCGTATATAAATTATTACACACAATGGTACCCGAAAGACCCACATAAGTATTTATACGCATCCTTATAACGACCAAAAAAGTTTCATACTCGCTGTCAGTGGCGTACACAGATATTTTCAATGGGAAGAAGGGTTACATTAAAAAACTATATATATATATATACAGTGGTCGAAGTGGCTCAAAATAAGTGGAAGGATGCCTGAACTTTTATACTATTTTAATATTATGGCTTATACACGTGGGGGTACTTGGAGGTGGAGATGCGTTGAACCTTATAGCCCTTATTTTTATAATACAATTTTATATACAGTATACGTTTTTGTTTTTCAGTTTGATGCTTTATTTGTTGGTGTATTAAAATTAGTGTACACATATAATCATATTTTTATTTAGAACGTAAAACATATTTACATAAATATATAATTTATGCACATACAGTTTATCAATAGGTTCTAACAGTATGCATTATATCATCATACATTAAGTATAAAAACAAATAAAAAAAAATAAAACTAAACTACTTATACATTAGTCATTACTATAGTCTATAGACTATAACGACATATTATGCTATAAAAACACCAATATAAATCGATAATCTTTGTATATAATTATAAGGGGATGTATTATTTTGGACAAAATAAGTGGAGTGATGAAAAATGTAGATTGTAATGAGTGGTGGAAGTTCATTTTCCTGTGTCCCCCCTCACTTCAACCACTGTACATAAATTATACACATCAAAATATTATGTTCTTTAACAAGGATTTATTTTTATCATAGAACAATATCCGATTTCCTCGGTATTCGTCTCACTCATCAATCTTTAGGAGTTAAAGGCATAGCCTGGTATATCGACAACATGGACAATCCATTAAATCTGTCCTGTTGAAAAAAATACCAAGGGGGAAGGGGGGTCGTGGGTTATTGAAAATTAAGCTTTTAAACGCTACATTTATAATAGTGTTTGAATATGGCCAATTTTTACTATGTTTTTTTTTTTTTTTTTTTTAGAAGGCCCTGTCAGAAATTCTCCACTTCCAACAGAAACCAGAGTTCCCGATCGAATAACTGTACAGTGTACGGGGCCATAGGAATTCTTTCTAAAAATCGGATACTTTTATACAAACATTTAAACTGATTAAAATATATGCCGAGAATTGTTGAGATTTGATAAATGATATTTGTATACGTTAATGATTTGTTATTAACAATCGTTCAACGGTTTGTCAAAAATCGAGACCAGGACTGTTAATGGGTTATTACCCTTCGACAAATAATTTTAAAATCTCATTCGAGTTCGTGTTACTAGTGCAGTCATCGCGGCAAACAGCAGAATCGAAACCCGATACATATATATTTGCATATTAGTGTATTTACTTTCGGATGCCGTAATCTTCCTCCAAAGTTCAAAACTCAAACAGAACCGATATAGATAATAGTTCACGGTTCAGTTGTTGCACGATTTGTCATCACATACTTTCAAAGTGCAGGTTATAGAGGTATTTATTTAATATGCAATGCCCCCACGAATTGTACATTTGCACGAATAGAACTTTGACTGCATTGCGCACACACACCGAATACACAGGTGACCTTACTTACAAAAAACTTACTCCTTATAAGACTTCGTTGAATGACGCAAAATGATGGTTGTCGTATTAAATAAATTATGCTTGTTGTAATAATCCGCCAATGGAAATTGTCTAAACAAAAATCCAGTCCATTTCTGAAGTTTTGTACAGAATTAAGGATAGTGTCAGTACGTCGTAAACGTATAAACCACAATTGTTGTAGGTAGAAAGTTGGAAAAGCGGATTATTATAACGAAATGTAATTCACATATACCGTATGCAACGATAACTGATTGCAGACGAAAACCTATTCTGAACGAGATTCGGCTAAACATGTTATAACAAATGTATAGGTTTTTTAAAATTGTAACTATAATTATTATTATTACCGTGTCCTCTAAAACAACTATTGTTTTGTACATCTGTGTTTTTCACTGAATTACAACAATAAATCAAAATCTAAATTAACAGACCCCGGTTAGGTTTTTCTCCACAAATAAAATCAAAAAATAACCTTTTAAACGCACCAACTAGAAAAAAAATTTACTACCGGAATCCACCTCCCGATGTCGATGATTGATTCGCGATTTCTGTTCGAAAAGTGGTTTACTGACGAAAAATAAAAACAATACAGGTACGTTTCTGGCTGCTTTGCTCAGAATCTAAAAACAATAATTGTCAAGTAAGTAGGTATGTTTATGCATAGGCGTCATTACGGGATGGCGAAGGGTAACAACAACTGCTATCTCGACATTTTTTATTGTGGTTGAAAATTAATGGATACGCTACACTATAATTAAAAAAAAAAAAAAAAAAATACAATCGTCTTGCTTTTTTCATATAATAAGATCACACCAATGTCATAATTATCATTCTAACAGCTATGTTAAATTCGAACGCATTACCTATAGAAAAATCAGTTCACTGATTAACTACTTAAACGTCTAAATTTATTTGATTTTTTTTTTTTCTACGTAAGCAATAGTCCAATAAAACAATTGACTAGGATCTATTGACGATCCACAGACTAATGAAATGAGGGACGTTTAATTAGACCGCGAGCGAAAGAAAAATATTGCTCAACGTGCTTGGTACCCCATTATGAGTTTACTTCAAATGACGCCTATGGTGTTTACATAAACGTATAGGTATATTGTTTATAAAAGCGAAGTTAACTAAAATTTAAAATTTGTGCGACGTAGGTACCCCGTAAATCTAATATGAAACGCGCAAGGAATGGAAACTCAAAAACCGTGTAAAATAATAATATGGCGAGACGCGAGCAGGTATCTGTCCCGGTGTTTCTGAAACCGATCGCTCATCTCGTGGGGGTCGTCCCCAGGACGGTCTGGCAAAAGTCAATTGAAATTCTACGGCGCATTAATCATTTTGCGATAACAGTAGCGCAAAATTAGCAAACGCCACGCGCGATCAGGCGAATTTAGCTATTTTCAATGATTTCTCCCCCCCCCCCGGGGGAAATCGTGATCGTCGCCGGCCCGTTTGTGCGGTGCCGCCGACGCGATCGCACCGAAAACAGGTCGGATTCCTTTTCGTAACGGAAGAGAAAAGAAAAAAAAACAAAATTATACATTTTTATATATTTTAGGGGGAAAAAATATCGCCGTTCGGGGTTTCCGCAATCATGAAACGCTCGAGAAAAGCCGGTCTGTATTGGCGCGGTACCGACGACGAACGCGGACAGAATATTCAAACGGCGAGAAAAACAACAACAAAACCAGAACCGGCAACCGAGACGTTCGAATTTAAAAGTCAAAACGTTTGTTGTTCGCGCGATATTATTATTCCGTTGCCGACGTCGGGCAGGCAGGCAGGGCGCGCGTGCGCGCGCGTATCGTCGTGCCGTGTTATCGTGTTGTTTACGCGCGCGTGACACTAGGCGCCGATCCCGTTTAAATATCGTGAAGGTGAGTCATGGCGCGCGCGTCGCCCGCGGGACCCGTAATTATACGCGTTTCGTACCGACTCGTTCCTCTCTCGCCCCTCCCCCGAAGCCAACCGGGCAACGTAAAAACCGATAAACGCGGAAACTTATGGACGGGCGGACGGCGACCGACGACGCGAACGTTGTTTTTCACGGTGAAAACGTACGCGCGAATAACGCGTTGCGCAGCGCCGGAACACGAATACATTGCGTTGAAGGTAGGCCCGGCGGAACGCTTTATATGCGTATTATCCGTTCCCCCCGGGGAGACTCGTGCGTTACCGCCGCCGCCGCCGACCGCGATTCAATATATTTTCGTCGCAGCAAACCAGAGAAGACGACGCGTCGTCGTTCCGTTGCGTCACGACTCGCAACAGTTTCGAATAACCGGAACAGTACAACTCTATAATATATTAATTATTGACAACCCTACCTCTCGAAACCTCGGCACAATCAAACATTCGTAATATTGTGATAACTCTGCGTTTTGTTTCCTTTCGCTTTCATTACGCGTCGTACCTTCTCGTAATATCATTGTTGCGATAACTTCTTACGGGACGATACGATATTGAACGATCGTCGTTAAACACCGCGACCGTAGACGAATCGACAATCGGTACCGACATGGCGTCCACTTCAAACGCGGCAAACGCCGACATGGGCGAACACTACAGTCAAATAAAGACTGCCACGGACAAGTTTTTCACCGTCTTACGAGACGCGAAAACTTACGAAAGCCAGGGCAAAACAAATCAAGTAAGTCGCCTTTAAAAAATAATGCAACGATTTGGACACGTTTGTTTTTTCACGCTTGTTTGTCTCAACAACGTAGGCCTTATTGGAATACGAACAGTGTTTGACTATTATCGATGACGTGTTCGCCGTTCCATTGATACGACCGACCGATCAGAGTTCTGAATGGACACAGGTGAACAACATTCTACAATATTTAAAAACCGAAAAGTACGTACCGGTAAAAGTTAAAACCAGTAGCTCAGTAATACGATAAATAAAAATTTCCTATGTTTACTGTAGAAAAGAAATTTTAAACCGTATAGTCGAGTTACAAAGAGATAGTGATACCACGATCGTTACAGAAAGACCTTTACACAGTCCTCCGTCGTATCAAGAAGCTACATCAGGTTTAAGCGATGATCAATCAATTATTTCAGAAACGGACCATCAAGTTTCGTTTCATCAGTTGTCAGAAATGCTCAGAGATTTACGCGTTGACATCGAACAAAGTTCAACTGCTGTTACACTGATTTCCAGTGACAAAGCGCAAGTCTTTTTTATTTCTGACAACGGTCAAGTGACATCACCTACCGACGTCGGGTCAAATGTAAAAATCTTTATGCTCGAAGGTATTCAACTAAATATTTAACACATGATAATAATACCTATGTATGTCCTTAACTATTATATTTTATTCAGGTACAGAATTAAACATCACGCCGCGTTACTTTCTCTACATTGAAGATATCTACTATCCTCTTGTTGCCAATGGCTCCCCTTGTCTTCGTACGGATTACGGAGCATTTTTATTTCCAGACATTGAGAATAAAAACTCGTCTATTGGTGTTTTAATCCATCCAGAGGATTTAGAACTTTTTACTGATATTCTAGAAGATATACTTAAAAAATCATTGAGAAAGAAATCTGAAAGTACAAATGCTAGAGAAAGAGGTCATAACATTTCAACACATATTATTAATGGAGCAAATTTTGTATCAAATGGATTAATCAAAGGTGCTGAAAAAACAACAAATTTCATGAATAATTCTACTCCGGGGTTGTTGAACTATATTAGCCCTTCTCAAAATGATAAATCTGTATGTACTCCTGTGAAAAAAGGCATTAAAGTCGCAAAAAATGTTACATGTACTGCTGCAGATGTTACATGTTATGTTGGTATGCTTGAAAATGTATTAACTTAGTAAAAACCTAAAAAATCATATTAATTTACATCAAACCAATATGAATACATATATTGTTTAGCCGGAAAAATAGGAACAGCCTCATGTGTAGTTGGAAAATTTCTTGCTCCACACGTACATAAAGGTGGTACAAAGATATTAACAAAAGTCACCAACATGGACCAAAACGATGCTTCCCAGAAAATGACAAATGTGTTTGACATAGCAGCTGGTGCCCTTGAGGGTTTCGGAATCATATATGATGGGCTTGAAAAATCTGGTATTATGCTCGGTAACAGTATTTCGAATAATACTGTTCGCATAGTTCGTCATAGGTAATTGTATATAAAAACAAAATAATAAGAATTTTTCAATCATCATATATTTTTTAGGTATGGGAAAAATGTTGGCGATGTGACACAGGACACATTTGAAACAGTTGGCCACGGATTAAGATTCACTAAAACAGTAAAAGAGCTAGGCCCTAAAAATATTGTTAAATCTACTGTTATACAAACTGGACGTTCCTTGAATGTACCAAAGGTGGATTAAAATCCTAAGAAATCACTGTGATTAGCTGTGCTGTTATTAATCTGATTACCTATTAAATAATAGTTTTTTACCAAATTATGGATTATTTTTTTAAGTTTTCAATATTATATTATATATGTTTATCTAGTGTTATCTTCTTAATCTATTTTTTTTTTTTTTTTTATATTACTTTTAGATATTAAAAATGTGATTTAGGTGAAAATGTAAAAATAAATATGCTTATAAATCAAAATTTTAGATATAAGAGTACATATTTTTCTATATATTTTCATATTATGCAAGTTGTTATAAATTATATTATTATATAATTAAATTATTTTTGTGGGTATTTGGTTGGTGTGTTGAATTTAAAGTACCTAAATAAAATGTCAAACTTAATAAATTGTGTAGTTCTTTGATGTAATACACCACACAACTCGAAAAAACTGAAAAAAAAAACTTGTTAAGTACCTAACCACTATACCACTTTAGTCAAATAACATTACGTTATGATACATACTGAATATCTTAATATGCTATGCAAACACACTATAAATAAGGTCATTAGTACCATCTGATAAAATAAAGTTATGGGACTTCATTAATATCTAGAACAAAAATATATATATATATATATGTGTTTGGTATCTACAGAAAATGATATTAATTTTTATAAGTTTTTTGGGATATTTTATACTTTCTATATTATCAAACACAAATAAATAAATCACCTATTTTAAAAATGTTTCGACCATAAATTAAAATAATACAAATGATTTAGTTTATTATATTATTTAAAAAATATTAATTTTTTATGAATTTATAAAATTATATTTATTGAATTTTAACAAGTTTATATCAATTTGTTTTATTCTGTTAGATGAACTAAAAACTCATTTATAATTCAGTCTCGTCTAAAATATACTAAAATATAAAAATAATTCAATTCATTGATCCCTTATCTTCTTTCAAAAGAAAATAAATATATACTTCCCCTTGGGATGTCTTCACTATTTCTTTATATGAAATCATAAAAACAGCAGATAAACCGTATAATAGTAATGGGAAACCTGCAAATAAAAAATATGTCATTAATTAAAAATTCAATAAGCAAAATATTTAAATTTAAATTCAAAATCATTTTTATTGGAGTTAGGACTCTTAAGTTAGTTTAAAAAACAATATTTAATAAATTTAAAACAATTGCAAAGTGTTTTAATCTTAAAACCTGTATTCTAAACCAAAAAATTAAATGAATATCAGAAGGTATTTACTTTATTATAATATGAAAACTACAACTGTTAAACATAACATATTAAGAGGTGTTGAAAAAAAAAATACTTTGCTTGCTGTAAAGGCCATGTTATTAACAAACCTATTAATATCAAAAATGTTTAATTAAATCAAAATAAATAAATTATATTTTAGTATGAATAAAAGTTGCACTTTAAAACATCATCATTATAATATCATGATCTAAGAGTAAAACATACACATTATAAGGTAGGTCATTAGATCAATAAAATATTAATGAGAATAACTGATGGATGAAAATTAATCATGGTCTATAAAATAATATTGCTCACCGAGGTTAACAATTTTTAAAATGTAAAATAATCTATCTTCGACTTCTAAATTTTCATACGGTCTTTTAGTGCAATGGTATTTTATATATGGAAAACAGCCGGACCGTAAGACGTGATAATTACTGTTTCCAACTTTCCAATTGAAGTGCGACCGACCTCTTTGGTCGTCAATTACGGAACTATATTTAACGAAAAACGATGTCCACGGTGGTTCTTTCGATTGTTCCAAGTAATTGGTAAGTACTACAGAAGCGTTCGGCAGGCGTTTGGCCGAATTTCGAAAAACGAGCGACATCAAAATATTTACCGAATGCCGAATATCGAATCATTCAAATCTGCATTTAAATACAACGAAACGAGAACAAAAGAGGCAGAGAACAATATAAAAAAAATTAGACCAGTATTTTTGTTTAGTTTTTTTTTTTTTTTTTTTTTATAACGGTTATCAGTTTTACCGCTGTCGCGGTCACGGTAAGTATTGAATGGTACAACCGTACCGTGGTGGTCGCGCGCAAACTACAAACTCCTTGATATTTGGTGTGTTTTGTTGACAACTTTTCGTGATTATAACAATTTTGTTGATAAATGCAATATAACTGTTAAAAGGAAATTCAGTTCAGTAATACACTTCTCAATTGCGAACGGATATTTCCCGTTCGATGGCGTCATCACAAGACGCCTGGTACCTGTCACTTCTGGGACTGGCCGAAAACTTTCGAACTTCGAATCGGATAAAAATGTGCATTCAATGCCTACAGGCCGTATTTAGTTTCAAACCTCCTCCTAGGGTCGAAGCTCGAACTCACCTACAGCTTGGCAACATACTGCTGCAGTACACGAAAAATACGGATTTGGCACGAACGCATCTCGAACAAGCGGTATTTATGCTCGAGGCAATCAGTTTTAATTTTTACACAGGTAATATTATATGTTTAGTGGTTGCTGTCCCAATCCATTAACGCATTTGACGATGTCAAATTTGAAGCGGCAAGTGTTGTGGCCGAACTTTACCAACAACAAAATCAATCGAATTTAGCCAAACCTATTTTAAGAAAAGCTGTCGAACTCTCACAGCACAATATTTATTGGCACTGTAGATTAATATTTCAATTAGCTGTACGTATTAGTTTTAACATTATTAATTAACACAACCTTATAATAAATTAATTTTATGCTTATTATATTTGGTATGTTTTACAGCAAATACATGCTGTAGAAAAAGATTATGAATTAGCCAGCAGTTTACTCGGGGTTGGTGTTGATTATGCTGCCATATCATCTGCCGCTTATACTAGAGTACTTTTTTTACTTAGTAGATGTATGGTGCGTACCTATAATACAATTATATTTTTAATTATCTATTTAAACATATATGTTATGTTCCTGTTTAAATTAGTTACTACTTATTGATAAGAAAATTACCGAAGTATCTCCATTGTTAACCCAGGCAGGATATTTAGTTGATAGTTGGCAAGCCAGCCAATATCAGAAAGAATATCTAAAAGTTTTTTTTTTAGTTTTACAAGTAATATCATCTATTATTATAATATTTAGTCATTACACAATGTATCCTACCTAATGATTATAATTTATTTAAATGTATAATTTAATTATAATTTTAAGGTGTGTCATTATTTAATGGCCGGTCAAGTAAAAAGTGTCAAGCCATGTTTAAAACAATTACAACAGAGTATTCTGACAATCATGCAGCCCACTTGGCCATCTGACGAAAGTGAGTAATGTCAATTTTTTTTTTCAGTTAAGTTATTTTAATGTTAATTAAACCTGTCTTATTTACTTCTCAAACATGTCTGTTTACTTTAAAATGTACATTCATTATCTAACTAATTATAAATACTGTATTATTATTTATCCTTAATTTACTAAACAATTTGACTAAAACAAGCAAATATGTATCAAACTCTCATTATATAGTATATTGACCATTTGAGGTTTAATATATGTAAGAGCATTATAAAAATCATTGCTAACAAAAATTCCCAGGGGAGTTTTGTTATACATGTTTTAAAAGACTGTAATAGTTAAGATTTTCATCAAAAATTTGATATTAAAATTCTTGTATAAAAAAAAAGAAAAATACTACATTAAATCCAACTTTTTCTTATTGACCATTAAATACAACTTATAATAAACCTCCTATTAAATGTTCATGCATTTTTATTTAGTCTAACAATTTTATCCACATAGTACCTATTGAATAAATATTACATAAAAAAAATTCCCAAATTAAAATATCTATATAAGCTCAAAAATGTCTCAAATATTTTGAAAATTCAACCACGTTTATAAATAGAAAATATAATGTTTTGTCCAAATTTCAAGTTTCTACGGATATTGTAAACTGCATTACAACAAAACAAAATTTTAAAAAGGATAGACATACTTCATACGTGGGTGCAGCCACTGTTGTAGGTGGAAAGTTGGAAAGGTAGGATACAGACGGGAATTTAATGTATATTTGTAAGCAACGAAAAAACAATTCTGAGCGGAGTTCAGTTGCTTTGTCAACAATACAATATATGGTATGTGTCATATTATGGTAAAATGATTACACAATGTGAGTTTCCATGACAACAATGATTGTTTAAATTAAAATAATAAAAACTTAATTATTATAACATAAAATAAATAAAAACAGTTGCCAATGACAACATTATTTTTAACCTAAAGACCAAGGTTTTCCTCATTATCACAAATATTATTGATAATTTCAAAAAATAATCTTTAAAGTACCACCCAGAGTACATTTCCTTTCAGAAAATGTGCTATACTTGATAATCAGAATATGCTTTATGGTAGAAAGTGTTCACATAAAAAATAAAAAAAACATCATTGTACAACATTTCTTGTTCCACTCAGAAACTAATTATAAAAACACTATTTTCGTAAGTTTTCACGTTTTTCCCATTTTTTAAGAAAAACCCCCCAAAAAAATGACTTCGCTAAAATACCACCACTGGAAAATTTTCTTTTAAAAAGGAGGTTCATTTAATATTTCTGATCAAAATTTCTAGTAGAATAAAAATAAATAAAATGACGTAATTAGTTATAAATCTTATTAATCATTTAAATTAAAAATAGTCTACTCTTATAAGTATCTAGAAGACTAGTTTTCAAAAGTATTACAGATTCTAATTTGAGTAGAGTAAAATAAAAAGAAGTGTTTATTGTATTATCCTGTAAAATTAGTAAGCTTCAAATCAATTACTTAAATTTAAAAATGTTCAAAAAAGTATTATGGAAATATCTAAATTATATTAATTTTATTCATTCCCAATTTCCTAAAAATATGCATTAACAAAATATTAATATATATAATTCAAAATGAATGAATAATTTCTTGCAGTTGTTTGTGGATCTAACATGGGTGACATGTTCATATGGATGCCTAAAGAACAATTGTATGTTGTAGTCTACTTAGTGACCGTAATGCATAGTATGCAAGCAGGGTACATGGACAAAGCACAAAAATACACTGACAAAGCTTTGGCGCAAATTGAAAAACTAAAAGGTAATAATTAAAAAGAGTTGAGTTTTTCATTTATAATAATTTTTTGCATTACTAATATTTTCATTTTGAAGCCGGTGACAACAAAACACCAATATTATCGGTCTTCCAGCTAATGTTACTTGAAAATATGGTTATGTGCCGTTTAGTAACTGGAAATAAATCGCAAGCGTTACGTGAGATGTCGCAAGTGTGTAGTATTTGTCAGCGACATCCACGACTATTAAACTCTCACCGTCCTCAACTTCATGTGCTCATTGGCCTTTATGCAATGAGTATGAACTGCATGGACGCTGCTGAAATGCAGTTTACTACTTCTTTAAGGGTATGTATATTATTTACACTTGTAAACTTACAAATAAAGTCACAACTGATAACCTAATACCCAATCTACCAAGTTACAAAACAAGTATTTTGTTTCAAACACTGAAAAATATGTATCATAAATTTTTTTTGACAGTTGTCACAAGAACGTGAATTATGGACATTTGCAAACCTCAATTTAGCAATTGTCTACTTAAGGACTAAAAGAGATGTAGAATTAAATGCTCTTTTAGACCGTATAAATCCAGAAACTCTAACATCACATTCACATAGTCTTAGAGCTGCTGCATACTATGTTCAAGGTTTACAATCATTTTTCCAAGCCCGTTATAACGAAGCAAAGTAAGTTTTTATTACAGAATAAAAGTTTGAATATTGACCATCAATATATTTTTAATTAATTGAATTATTAATTATAATTTATATTTTTGATTTTTAAGAAATGGAAATTACTTTTATGTTTTATTAGTTGTGTTACCACAATGTAAAATTGTATAAAAGTGAAACCTTGCATTTTAATATATTATTTATTTGATGATTTAATTTAATTTTTAGGAGATATTTACGAGAAACATTAAAAATGGCTAACGCAGAGGATTTAAACCGTTTGACTAGTTGTTCATTAGTTTTACTTGGTCATATATTTTTATCGTTAGGTAATAGTAGAGAAAGCATGAATATGGTTACTCCAGCTATGCAATTAGCTAGTAAAATTCCTGATGTGCATGTACAATTATGGGCTTCAGCTATACTAAAAGGTATTTTATTTGAACATATTAAAATATTACAAATATTTGAGTTAGTAATGTGTATTCAATTATTTTCTAATTTATGTGAACATATTAGATTTGTATAGAATGTGCAATGATGCTGTTAGAGAAAATGAAGCACTACAAATGCACTCCAATTTTTCACAAACTTTACTTAAAGACCATTTTCAATCTTCTGAAATGCCTGAACACGCCCTTATATCATGGACCGATGGACAATTTCCAATTACATTAAAACCATTTGTATCACCACCTCAACAACATCATCTTCATTTACAACAACATCAACATCAACATATGTTGCAACAACAAATGCATCTTCAACAACAAAGTTTACACATGCAACAACAACATATGCAATTACAAACCAAACAACAAAATCCTGCTGCTCTTGGACTCCCATCTTAGCACTTATCCACTAATCCGATCAAAGCACATACATTGTGCCATCGGCATGAATTAAAAAAAACTGTTGTTACAAAGGTATGTTAGTAAAATTTGTAATTATACTCACCAATATTTTGTATCATGTAAATAATTTAGATGTGTATAGCTTTAAAAATTACCATTTACACTTTCGAGTGATCTTCTCAATATACAGTCCATTATTTGTATACTTTTTCATTTGTTTCTCAAAGTATTAAGTTGTATTTTCATTATAGTAAATGCACTGTATAGTGTGATAACATTAAAGCTAAAAACCTGATATTATTCCCCTATTGGGTTTAATTATTAATGTTGAGAAATTATAAATTGTGTTGTGTATGTTTTTATCAGTGTCCCATAAATATTAATTTATAATTTTTTTTTAATTTATATTTTTTTCTAAAAGGCAATATATTTTGAAATTGTATGTAAGTGAATATATTTTTATATAATATTATGTGTATAGGTAGTTAATAAAAAATTATGGACTAAATACATGTATTTTATATGTGATAACTGTCCTGTATTTTGTTAACACTGTCAGTCTGTTGCAGTAAAATATTTGACAAATACAATAACTTTTACTTGTTTTATAATATTAAAAAAAAAAAAAAATATTTTGTTGAATAAAAGTTATTGCATTTGTTTAATCAATCATACTATGCAACATCTCTTGTATATGGATTAATTGTATATGTATAAAAATATTTCAGTTTTTTATTAAATGATTTTTTATTAAAAAATTAATGTTTAAAATATGTTGACATTAATATACTGTACCTAAATATATGTTGGTAACAACTCAATATTTAAACAAAAATAAAACAATAAAAGCTGAATAATTAACTCGGATAATCATTCATCTAAGATATTACAGTCCAAAAATATACGCTCTGGGTTAATATGGTTTTTATCTTAAAACTAGAATTATATTTTCCAAACAAATGTGGATTTTAGTGTTTAGATTCCAGAATTTAGATATTCAGCCCATTTATAAAAAGTGAGTGGGTAGAATTTAAATTATAATGTTAACATGCTATTATCATATTATATTAATTATAAATTTTAATAACTGTTATTGTTATTATTATTATTTTTATATTTATTATTTATTTAATAATTAAGACGCGTGTATATGATATATTATTTATAATAAAGTTGAAAAATTTTAAAATTAATTATTTTAACAATTGAACCTTATGTATTTTTGTTTAAATGTTTTTTTCGTTTATTTTAAAATTTTAAAAAAAATAATGATAAGTCTATAATATTATACTGGTAATCAGTTAGTGGGCATTAACTAATCAAAAATTTATTGTTTGTTAAATTGAAGTTGTTTATTTAAAACTTCTCAATTTAACAAGTTAGTTATTTCGGTCTTCAACCAATTATTTTAACTATTTTAGTTTTCATTGTATTAATAATATTTTTTTACAGTTCAATTTTTTAACCTACCAGTAAAATAGGTTTATTGAGAAAATAGCACTAATAATTTATATTATTGCCTGCTTCTTTTTAAATGATAACTGAATAAAAAAAATTTTAACTATGAGTACTCACAAACAATATGAACAGACATCCCAAATGAAGTTAGGGTAATACAATTTTGTATACAGAATAATCAACATAATGTAAAATACTCATTATCTCATTATGTATTAACTTTCATCAGAATTTATTTTTAGAACATTGAAAAAACAAGCAGTTCTAGAATTATTTTATTGGTTTGTGTTTTTGGAAGGATAAGCTGAAGAAATAATGAATAACTCAACTAGTATACAAAATAATCAGAATTTTATGTTACTGCATTTTTCTCCTATATAAAATGGAGAAAATTATATAATACAAGTTTTAACATTTATAAACATCTACAATAATTTTTATATTTTTTTTTTTGTACTATCTTATTTTATCGATAAACTTTTCAAATTCAAAAAGGTTCCCATTTGAATTTCAAAAGTTTACTTCAAAAATTCCTCCAAAACAGAGAGTCAACAAAAATATATAACAATTATTTTAAATATTTATAAAATGAAAAACATTTGTTTTATACAATTTCTCTATTTAGTATATTTATAAGAAAAAAATGCTATAACATAAAATTCTGATCACACTGTATGTATAAAAAAAATTCTGATGTGTGCAGGGCAGTAATTAGAAATTATAACCCCCCCCCAGGCTTAAAAATAAAACAATAATAAGTTTTGTTTTAGCAATTGTATCTTTAAATTGTATATGTTTTCAAATTTATTTTCCTAATTGATTTATTGAATATTTTTTTTACCACATAATGCCAAAGAAAATAATAAATATAAATAAAATCAAAATAGTAAAATAATAGTCAATATTATAGAGTATGTAATTGTTCTAATAAAACTTTTTTTTTTTTTTTAAGACGTTGACTCATAGTGGACGTTGTCAGTATTTTTAATTTTTAGGGTTTCAAGACCAAATAACAAATTTAACAGTATCAGTTAATATCTGATAATGTTATTCAGTACCATAGATGGAAAAAAAAATATTTGACTATAACTCTAATGTAAATACAAATTACACAGGTATGACAATTTCAAAAATTGTGTCAACCATATTATACAAAAATACAAGTTTTAAAATAGGTATTTTATTTTATTTTTAAATAATAAACGCCAAACAAGATTTACAATTTTTTATTCTAACAATTAAAAATTAACAGATAAAAAAAAAACTACAACAAGAATGGTTTACATACTAAAGAAGCATTGTGATCCTAACCTAACCTAACCGTTATCCTGGATTGGGGTGCATTTCTTTATTTAAAAATAAATAAATGCATTATTATTATAATAATGGGTAAGAACCCTATTTTACAATGCATAGACTTATGATTTAACTTTCTGTATAAAATAAAATATTTGTTTTAAAATTTATTATTAAATCATATTATTATTACATCTGAGACAAAATTGATTATTTTAATATCCAAAATACAGTTGTTACCATACATAAACTCAGGTACATACATATTATATTTTACTGTGTTAATGTAAACAAATTTAATTTTAGTTTTGTAACAATGCAACGATAAACTATTTTTGTAATTCTGAGATCGCCAGATTTGACACCATTAATACTATAATATCTACCAAGAATGTATTTATTTATATTATATTTTTTTTTATTTTGTATGGAAATAAAAATGTAATATTTAATTTTTTTGTTTTTCATAATAACCTTCAATCCAAACTTGTTCAAGATTTATTTACAAAATTAATATTACATCCAGTCTCCGCAATTTGGTACAGGCACATTACAAAATGCTTTATCTTTATTATTCACTAATCTGTCTGTATTGTGGCGTTTATTTTATGAAAAATACATATATTTTTATAACAGACCTAATCATGCAGTACGTACTTCAAGATTATCATTATAATGTATTTTTAAAACAAAACTATAATATTCAAATTAATATAAGCATTAAATACATTCATCATAAATTAATTCAAGGTTGTCTACAAAAAATATCTAAATAATGAAAAGTACACTTTTTGTATGGATAAGTAATAATTATTTTAAGTAGGTAGGCACCCAATTAATGAACCAAATAAATTTAAATATCATGGTTATGACTAGGCATGGCAATGATAAGACCCACAAAACCGAAAAATGTCATTAACAAAGATCTAAAACACCTGATGGGTGTGCCACTGTTTTAGGAGGGAAGTTGGTAGGAAGAATATATAGAGTAGGTAATTTCATTTGTACATGACTAAAATTACATGACTCAGAAATTATTTAAGAATGCAAAATAAAATATTTTTTTCATATTCAAAAATACATGAAATAAATTTTGAACAAAATGAGCGTCAAACAGTAAATTTTGAAAAACAATTCAAAACGCAATGAAATTCCAGCTCTAATTATGACAGGTTTTTATTCAATATTAATTCTGCGTTATTTTAGATTCTGAGCGGAGCAAGGAATGTATTTGTTTTACAACAATGATTATTTTTCTGAAATGAAATTTGATTGGAGTGGTATTTTAATGGGGTCATTTTTTGATTTACCTAGGAGTTTTAAAATAAATGGGAAAAAACTGGAAAATTAACGAAATGTATTATTCTTAATTTTGATTTTTGTTGTGATTCAATATGGGGAAGGTGGGATACGTAAAGTTATTTAATTTATACTTGAAACCAAGGATAAACCATTGATAACGAAAAACGATTCGGAGCCAAGTTCGGTTATACATGTTTTGAGAAGCAGAATATTTTCGTTAAAATTTGATATTAAAATTAATTTATAAAAAAAGAATACTACATAAAGCACAAATGTTTGTTTTTGTTATCACAAAGTACGACATTTAAGGAACCTCCGGTTAAATTTTCAAACATTTCGGTTTAGTCATAACAATTTTATCTACAGAATACAGAGTACTTACCGAATAAAAATTATGTACAAAACTCGCAAACTTACAAGGTCTATAATTAGCTCTAAAATAGATCGAATGTTTAGGAAATTTTACCACGTCTAGAAAATGCAAATATAATTTTTCTGTCAAAATTGCAAGTCTTTATGAATATATTTAACTAAACTACATTAAAAAAAAAAAAAAAAAATACACGCATTATAGTAAAAACTGATAGATCCCTGGCTACACTCCGAATCTAAAATGGTAGATAAATAGATAAATAGATAGACACCTAATTTATTAGATAAATACTATAAACTTTAGATTAACGTCTTAAATAAATTTACTTTTTTTTCATTGTCATTCAATTTCGAAATTGAAAATAATGTGCACCTAGGTAAAATTAATGTACTTATTTGTTATTAGTATACACGTATCAGTTTGGCGCAAAACGGGAGGGGAAGACAGTAATTTTAAAACTTATAGTGCCTATTATACAGAAATAATCGAAGGTAAGTCAACACATTAAGTTGACATAATAAGACTAAATTAAAAAAAAAAAAAATACCATCAATTTCACTTTTAATCTCCTCTGCAATGCGGTTAGTGGAATAACCTTGCACGTGTGAAAAATCTACGTAACACTAACCATAAGATACCTATTATAATAATTATTTTTTAAATCAACTGAGGATGCGGACCCGCATCGAACGATCTCGTAAAAGAAACCTTTATACACTGTGGTATTTCCCGGTGTGCTACGGTGCACCGTCTAATAATATTAAATATCAATACTTGGATCGAATACAATATAAATTATTCTAAAACGTACGTGAGACGAAAGCAAAATAATATTAATAACGATATTAAATAATTGTTTTTCGGATAGGCGGGTACCAAATAATGCTGAACAGAAGTTTGCTCGATCCGTAATCTGGATTAGTAAAATATCCGATTTAACTGATCGAATCCACGTAATCCAGATATTATTAAACGTAATAACGATTCAATCTGGCATTATGGATAAATAATCAGTAGAGGAAAAAATTAAATCAAATATCTAACAGTTACAAAAATTGTAAATGTTAATTATTCAAATAATTGGAAATATGGGCCTGATGGTCAAATGATCAAATTGAACTACGACTTTTGTCATTTTTAAATAAATTGAATTTGAAGGTCTAAGACATTTTATATGAGTATTAAGCGTACGTATAACTTTTATGTTTAATGTTAATGCTTAAACTCGAGCGTAATGTTGTTAAAACTCAATGGCTAAGGGCTAAAATAGCCGACCCGAACTACGTAAAAAAAAAAATCTATAAATCTATATATATATACTTGTATATGTATTGACAATATCGTCGACTTCATCCCGTCCATACAACACGACAATATCACGCTGTTATCGTGTCGTGACGCAATACCTATTTTCGGTGGCGTAAAAAAATGTACGCATACTATGTATGGGGGTGCATCATATGTGCACTAATGATCTCGCGTTTTATGTAACAGATTAACTGAAAAATAATGGCCAGGGCCCGTAAACGGGTCTCGATTCCGACTCGGGGGGGGAAATGAAACGTTAGCAGTATGTATTATGGGTTACAGGATTAGCCGCTTTGGTCTAGACGCTTAAACGTGCTTAATAAATTATAATCGGTGTTTTATTCTCGGTCCTATTTCGATCTCGCATTGGGCATTCTTAAACAAAGCCGTTTTAATACGATAATACAGTCGACAAATTATAATATAATTATTTGTGTATGAGAAAAACGGGAAAATATGTATCGTGTACATTATATCATATTACATTATGTATAATGCATATTATTGGCAAAGCGTCGCTATCAACTGAACTCCGCTCAGATTCGTTTTTTTCGTAAGCAATGGTTTGTCGTTGCTTACAGTTATACATTAAATTATATATAACAGCGGCTGCGCCCGTTCACATTATCCTAGAAATTCTTTTGGATTTCAAATTCTGCCACAAAACTATAGTTTAGACACCACTGCGACTTAAAAATCTAATATAATTTAGACTTTGTGTTAAGAAAGTTAAGTTTCACTTCTTACAATGCTGATACAAAAAAAAAAAATGTGTATTGTTTTAAAATTCCACAGCCTATCACCACAACTTCACCAAACCTCAGTGCTAGGACTGGTAAAAATATAAGAACGCAGCACCCTTACCTGTGCATTAACTTCTTCCCTCCAGAGCGAAAGATTTGCAAAACAAATTTTAAAAATGGATATAGGTTCCACGGTACCCTAACAGTGGCGGCTCTGGGTAGGGGGTGCACGGGGACCATGGCCTCCCTCAAATTCCAAAAACAAAAATAAATATAAATTGAGAACGGGTAGGGGTATTCCATCTACTATATAATTGATTTTAATGTAGCCATATAGCATACCACATGAGTATACGATTTTATTGTTACAATATATTAATACAGGTAATATCAGTTTACTCGATACCGTCTAATTGAATGTTAGGTACTTATATTTTCGTGTACTACGCCAGTACGTGTGTTGTTCACCGATTATCAAAGTCCCAGTATAGGATTCTTGGGGTTTTCTGTTTCTAATTCTAATTTGGTTTATTTCTTATCGGCTTTACTGCCGAATAACAGAGTAGGAACATTCTTAAATCGGATCTTTAAACGAAAAAAATTAAAATATGGCATCCGAGTTAGATGTTGATGTTATCAAACCACAATACGAAATAAAATCAATTTATAGAGCATATCATCATTCAGATTCGATTAGAAAAAAGTATTTTATAGGACTTCTATTTATATACCGGTCGTAGATTCTGTTGTAAATGATCTAACCAATCGTTATTCAAAAGATGTCCTAAAACTCCTTTGACCTACGTCTTTTGATGCCAGTCGCAATGGACTATAAAAGGTTTTAAAAATCAGAAAAAGCCGATAAAACCAAACGAAAAAATTATAAAATATCGAGGATTTGCGGACGTGTTTTGGATAATAATGCGGTTTGCCTATAAGCTGAACATGATATCTAGCTAGCAAAACGGAAACGTGTGAATATGAATGACGACAAAGTTATGATTCCAGAAACGGCTTTAAAAGTTCTCGAAACTTATGATGTGGTTATGTTTCCCACCGTTCATTCCCTGATACATATTTTAGCAACTATACCAATCAGTGAAGCGACGGCTAAAAGATCATTCTCAACACTATAACGGTTTAAAACGTGGTTGCTAACCAAACCTAACACGAATAATTGAAGAAAAGCTCAATGATCTCGCTCTTATGCATGTCCATCGAGATATTTCTACAGATATAGAAAAAGTTATAGATCGATTCACAAAAAAATAAGAATAGAAAAATAGATTTCATATTATAATTTGTAATTTAGGACCGTTCTCGCTAACCTAAAAATGGCGTTTATCCGATTCTTAAACTGAGTTTATGGCTGATAACCGACCACGGTTAGTCGATTATCTTATAAACGCCGTTTAAAAACCAACGTTTACGTTGGTGAGAACGGGCCTTAGTATTTAGTAATTTGTAGCTTTTTTTTGTATAAATTTAAAATTTCTAATTTTTTGCAAATAGGTACTTACATTAATTTAAACATCTGAATACATTTCGATATTACAGAAATCTATACTTATCATAATAATAACATGCATATTTTAATGAAATAAGTAAATAATTGGGCTATGTTGATGTTCCCCCACCCCAAATCAATCACTAGAGCCGCCGCTGTGCCCTCTTTTGTGCTCCTAACGTAACACAAAATAATTGTATTAATTTATAATCGCATTATATATCAATAAAATATCTATTATCAGAGCTTGGAAGAAAAACATATCTCCCAAACGATACATTTGAATTATTTATACCTAATGATCTAATGATTTAACATAATTTAATTGGACTAAACAATAACTACCTAGGTTGATTCATCTAGGTATAAATTCGTTTAAATGATGTAAAATTGAAGACCAAAACCGATAGCCTTCTCCCCTATCCTATACTAAATCCTATACGTGTCAAGCCAAAACAGAGCCCGGAAAATTTTTTAAAAAGTCCTGTTAATTTCAAATTAAAAACTCGAGTACGAGAATAAAAAATCGCGGCCGTTGAAATTTCGTAAAATTATTAAAATAATATGACTACTGAAAGTAAATGTATTTACTTACGCCTGGTATTTTACTTCCGAAGTTTCGACGCCACCATGTGTAAAAAATACTGGTGTAAAGTTTTGACTCTTGAGTAGGTATTTACGAACGATTATTATTGCGACGAAACCGATTTAATTGAAACATAAAATTAGAAAAAACAATAAGTACACAACACACATAAACGACAGACCAATCGCGACGGCTTCCCGGTGAATACTAAAACGTCTGAAACTGAAATGCTGAATTGCGAAATCAAGAGATACGTTATCGCTTATCTTTGCCCGGCATTTTACTTGTCTACGGCACTGTCTATTAATATTGACAATTGATAACGACTTTCATTATATAAAATTAAATTACTCTACTACATTATATATCCTATACCTTTCAAACTTCTCCCTACTGCGGCCTATTGATTGTGAGAAGTACGTTTTGATTATTTTTAATATAAATTAAAAATAATATTTTGTAAAATTGCAGAATATATTGACCTCATGTCTCGGAACTAGTGACGTATCCACGGGAAGGAGATTATATCTTCGAAAATATAAATATCCCATCATAGATTAAATATAGGTACGTAAAATGGGTATTAAAATATCGTTAACATTGAATCGTGTATTCACGGGTAAAACCGGTATTTTTTGTAGGGTGGGTGTCACAAGTCTACATTTAAAAAAAAATAAAAACACGAGTTTTAACATATTAGAATAAATATTTATTACTTAAACAGGGATGAATAGGGGTGTCCAGACACCCAAAACGGTCAAAACATTCCCCCCTAGTTGCGTCACTGCACGTGTTCTATAATTATGTTATGATTGTTATTATTATTTAGTAGTTTGCTGATAATGTCGCATTTCTCGGAATATTTTATCATATTCGAACATCAATAAACAATAGTCTATTTTTAACTTTCGATAACAAAATTTTCCACACTGCTTAATCGAATTACCATATCTGTGTAGTAATATCAAACAAAATATAATGATAAAACAAACTATGATTAAACCTATTTCAATACTTTTATGACAACTAGTTACCTACCCTGGTACTGGCACTACGTAAATATGTTCGAATTTGGAAGTATTCTATTGGCATTGAATATCCATCAATTTATCATGTTTAAAATTATCTGAGAATTATTTGATTAGTATTACCACTGATTTTATAATATACAGATAAGCCATGCTATAGGAATATTTGGAAACAGTCTATAGTTTAATTGAAATCCGATAGACATCGCTATTGTGTTTATTGATATTTGTAAACTAGATATTTATGTAGATTCTAGATGCCGCCGAATCCGGCCGCACAAATGCAAACCAGTTATTGTGTGACGCAACCGTCGTCGTTATTTTTCGTCTACCCACGAATATTAAAATAGAATCAACTATAATAGTATTGTTATAATTATTTTGATATTTTTGTTTACTCGACTACAGAATGTTATGAATGTTATGATTTTGTCTATATATGTTTGTTATTTATGTTTCCCTTTGTACATCTTATACTAATGGAGCAATTTTTACATACATATGAGGTGTCTATGAATTCGTTAATATTAATATTGTGTAAATATTTCTGGTCCCTACGATTTATTTTGTCCTTGTTACAGCAAAATTAATATATCGAAAATAATGAAAACATAATTTTACCGTTTTTCCTATGTTTTTTCCCACTTTAGCCCATTTTTAAGAAAACTTTTTGGAAAATCGGAACGTGTTCCTAGGAAAAATGTACAAAAAAAAAAAAAAATAAAAACATAAACATCATTATAAAACCAATACGTTCTTCGCTACGCTTAAAATCTGAAAAAAAATCACATAGCATGATCGTTAATGTTTGAACATACAAGTTCTAATGTAAATAAATAAGCAATAAATAATAGTTTTATAATACAATTAAAATACGTCATATTATACAAATCACCAACTGATTACAATTGAAGTATATTATAAAATCAATGGTATTACCAACGTCCTCTTTTACCCGGACGTCCGTTTTTCAATAAAAATATCCGCGGTTTGTTTTTAAACTTGGAAACTCTGGTATTACAAACATAAATATACATCTGTGGACGCTACATAATACACGACCTCACAGGGATACCACCTTGAATTTAATTAATGATTAGATACAAATATTTTAAAATGGTATTTAAGTATGTTGATGATGTATTTAAGTATATGATTTAATCGCATTATCATTTATGATTTATCAATTTGCGTAAGTATCAGGAGCATTCCAAATTGCAACCATTAACACATTTATATTTTCATAATACGAATAGGTATCTCAAAACACGAAAATAATGAACCAGGCACGAACAGAAAAATGTGGCGTATGGACTGTTATAATTTGAATAACTATTCAATATTCTACGTCCCGTGTATAATATATTATAATCATAGGTGTTTAGTAATTTTCTAAAGAAATCGTACATTAAATTAAAAAATGTATTATTAATAATTTTTATGTTATAAGAAAAAATGTAATTTTTGTTTTCTTTGTTAATTTATAAATTATAACTAAATTGTATTAATCATTGTTTTACTTATTTTTTTTACTGATCAGAGAATTTCGGCAACGTAGCGTATTTAAGAGTAGAAGGGAAGCCATTAATACATTTTATACAACGTAACATAATAAATAGGTGTATATAATATATAATAGATAAAGTTGAGTTGTTCGAACAATCGTATTATAATATAGTGTCTGTTAATCCTGAAGAGAATCTCTTCCTCACACTTTGGGTTGGCCCCAAGAGAGATATCAAGTTTTTCAGCTATTTGCCGTTGTTTCGGTCGGTTTTAACTATTATTTATATTCGACAACCACAGTGTAATGATTAATATTAGACGCCTGCCAATTGAGTTTTCTTCTTTTCGAATAATAGCTCTATTAGTTTTTAAAGGACAATACTCGTAACAGACTCGTATAACAACAAACTGTACATAATATTATCAGTAAACCTATTGCGAATTTAATTCTTCACGTTGTGAAAGCGTATACGACGGAAAATGTATAATATTATTTCAAATTACCATTGTGATAACTCGTGAACGTAGATACTCGTACGTATAGGTAAGTGTGTGTAAACATAATGATTGCACTTTCGCCGTACACTTATTCAAGGCTGTCGTGATGAACGGACGCGATGAACTTGACAGTTCATGATCACGAATTATTTTTATATTTTTTACATCGACCACAGAATATTTTAATATACCTACCCGTTATAGAGTTTCTGAATAGGCGCACCGTTAGCGATGAGACGCGTCTTGACCGTAGACGATTATTGTTTTGTGTACTTAAATAATATGTAAGTATTTAATTGGAAGTAATCGCTAAAACTGTTGGACAAAAGGGACAAGTCAGTTTTTTATGTTTTTCTTTTCGAAAAATTGTGTACAGACAGAAACAAACAATATGCATCATAGTAAAACCAATGGATCCCTCGCTACGCTTCGAATCTAAAATTTCGTCCGCAGTTAGCGATTCGTATGTACGGTTGGCGTGTATTAATTAAAAACAAAAAAACAAAATAAAGTATACAATAATTAATTTATATTATAAAAAACATTAATTTAATACACATTAATAACTACATAGGTACGTACGTTGAATATAGTAATAATAGTAGTAATAATAATTATGAAAAAAATAAAAGTAAATTAATGTATAATTTTTTTTAAAGCGCGTTTATAATCGATCGAAAGTTTTTCAAAAAAAAAAAATTTTTTTTTTTTCATTATTTATAATTGAATTCTTCAGAAATTAATTCTCACACGCTCACGTAATATAATATTAAATTAATAACTTTCAATTAAGCAAGTTATATAATAATTAAATCATCATAATGTATAACAAAAATAAGTCATATAATTTAATTCGCAAATACATTATAATAATATAGTTTAACAGTTGTTAACCTATACTAAATAAATATTTAGTAAATATTATGTAAAAAGTAATTAAAATATTTGTATATACAATTACAAAATAATACATAATAATATAAGTGTTGTACGTGATGTGTAATCGAACAAAACTGGTTTACATATTACATGTATAAAAAAAATACAGTATGTCAGTATAAATAAGTTTTTTTTTTTTTTAACGCGTAAACACGTAACTAATAAATTATTCAAATTTGACTAAAATCTATTTTAACGTATTTATTTATACTATTATATTATATTATGTACAAAGTATTTTTTTTTTTTTTTTTTTTTTTATTGAGATGTTGGCACTGCAGATTTTAATCCCGTTTATATCTTTGGTTATTAGAATATTATATATAATTTAACTTAAAAGTCAGAGAAACAAACAATATTATTCTCGTATCCCAAACATATATTATAATATACGATATTATTTCTGCGTGTTTACGCATCTCACGTTTTCTTAACCTTACGGTTGATACCTACGTGTACAATATATATTCATAAAAATAATATGTTATCGCGGTCAACGGTTCATGGCTCAGACACCAGGTCGGTGATCTGTTTGTTTTTTTTGCTTTTCACACACCTGCCCTTATAGCATATTTCAGTCTCCATTGATACCTTGGTCGTGGTTGACGTGATCGGCGCGACCGGTGCGTCCGTGACGGGCGCTGCTGCTGTTGGCGGCGTGACGGTCGGCTCGGCGTCCGAGCCCGCGTACTGCGTTTCCGCGGTCGATTCGTCGGCTTGCACCGTGGCGGTCGACTCCTGCGGCTGCTGGTTACCGCCGTCCCCGATGAATTTGGCCAACATATCGGCAAGATTTCTTTGGAATGCCTCGTCCTGTTCGTCGTCTGGATACTTAGCTCCGGTCTGCTGTTGCTGTTCTGGCGACAACGGTGGCAGGAGAACGGTTGTGGTTTCAGCCGAATGTTCTTCCGTGGCTACTGCACCGTCCGACGCGTAGTCAATGGTCGTCAATGGCACAACGCTGGTGAAGGCTGCTGCGGTGGTCGTCGGTGGCACCTCGGTCGTGGTAGTGGTCGTGGTAGCAGCGGTCGTGGTCGTAGTTTGTGGCGTAACCGGGTTAGGTTCCGACACTGGTGCCGTTGTCGTGAGCTCTGCTGCAGCGCTGCTGAATTCGTGCGTCGGCTTGGTGACCAGTTCTCTAACGGCGTTTACCGATAGCGGACCCAACGAGTTCTGTGACTCGGCTGTGTCCAAATTGTCCTGTGGTTTCTTCACGCGCACTCTGACCCAGTGGCCCCGACGACCGGGTCCCTTCTTCTCGCTGTTTGGGTCGTGTGCTTTTTTCTCGTTAGTGTACTTATTCTCCTTGTTAGAAGATTCTTCTTCTGCCGTTGGTGGCTCCGCGAACCTCAGATCTAGGCCACCTGCGTTCGGGGGCTGTGTGTACCTCGTATCCAATTCGTATCCTTGGCTCTGTTGAATAGTTACCGGTTCGTTCCAAAACGATGCGGCCTCTTCGATTTTTTTCTGTTCGTCTAGACCAGTTACCTGAGCGTTGTTTACGTCTTCGTACAGCTGCTGGACACGTACTTCTTCAGTGGTGGTTGTTGTCGGTACCGTCGTCGTAGTTGTCGTTGTCGTTGTCGGCCTTCGAGACCTCGATCGCACAAAGTCCGATCTGCCTGCCTGTGTTGTTCTAGACCTCAACGGGTTCCTAGTCACTTCAGTTTGTTCGGTAGTAGTCGTCGTGGTGGTTGGACGACGTCTTTTCAAAGGATTATACCTTTGGGTGGAAGACTCCACGGTTACTTGTTCGGATACCTCTTCGGGTGTCATCGGAGATTCCGTTGTAGGTTTTCTAGTCGTTGTCGTTCTTTGTCTCGGCCTTAGTTTTGTCCGTTCTCTAGGTTTTTCACTAGTTTCTATGAAATTTTGAGCACTAGTGTATTCTATGGCTGGAGCTTGAGTGGACGACATTAATAATTTATCGTAATATGAAAGACGTTGTCTAAATTTCGGCGTATCTGTAGGGGAAACTGTAGCCACTGTTTGAGGTTCAATAGACACAGTTTGTGGAGGATTGGATGCCGATTGAATTTGTTCTGTTGACGACTGTTGTTGATTCAAAAAGTTATTTCCTACCTGATACTGGGAAAGTGGTTGTATTTGTTGAAAGTTTTTAAATATTTGTTTTTCGGTCGAACTAGAGATGAATTGTGGATGATCCGTAAAAGATTGTGGGGTGTTTGATACTTGTTCTTGAAGAGTCTGTGGAGAATTTTCAAGGAATTGTTGATTTTCAAAGAATGGCTGTTGACTCGGAAGTGGTTGACTATCAACGAATGATTGTTGACTCGGCGATTGTACATTTTCAAAGAATGTTTGTTGACTTGGTTGTTGTTGTTGATTGTTGAAAAACTGTGATTGTGTAACTTGAGGTGAACTATTTAAATAGTCTGACTGTGTTTGAGGAACTTGTTGGTCTGCAAAAAATTGTTGCTGAGGATTATCGAATTGCTGTTGTTTTTTACTATCAAATTTCTGCTGCTGTAAGTTATCAAACTGTTTTTGTTTTGGGTTATCGAACTGCGGTTGATTTGGACTATCGAACTGCGGTTGATTTGGATTATCGAACTGCGGTTGATTTACGTTATCGAACTGCTGTTGTTTCGGGCTATTAAATTGTTGTTCGTTAAGGTTATCAAATGTTTGTTGTTTTGGATTTTCAAATTGGTGTTGTTTTGGGCTATCGAAGTGCTGTTGATTTATATTATCAAATTGTTGCTGTTCTGGGTTGTTGAATTGCTGTTGTTGGAGGTTGTTAAATTGTTGTTGTTGTTGGTTGTTAAACTGCTGTTGATCTGGGTTTTCAGACTGCTGTTGCTTCGGGTTTTCGAAATTTTCTTGGTTTAAGTAATTAAACTGCTGTTGTTGTGGATTATTAAATTGTTGCTGTTGTGAATTATCAAATTGCTGCTGTTGCTGAATAGGCACTTGTGTAGTTTCAAATACGGTTGTGTGTTCAACTGGTTTCCGTGAAAATTTATGCCTAACAGGTGTTGGTGTACTTTCTGAAAATTGTGGTTGTTCACTTACCGAAGGTGAACTTTCTGTTAACCGTTGTAAATCTGCAGCAGGTGTGGTAAAATGATCTCTTTTGCGTTCTGTAATATCATTTAAAGGCGTGCTCGTGCTAAAACTACTTAAAGTGCCTCTGTGTAATGGTTTTCTTTGTCTATTTCGTTTTGGCGTAGATGTAGTTGTTGCATCAGTACTTTTTTGAGGTCTTTCTGTTCCTCGTTGTGTAGTACTTGATAAAGATGGTTGTAATGAGTTTACTTCGGTGGGTAATTGAGACGTCATCGTGAGTGTAAATGGAACAAATTCAGTAGAAGATGGTACATTAGATGACTTAGAAGATACAACAACAGATCCTATATGGGGTGGTGGAAATGGAATTTTGGCATAACCAAACGGAGGTTTGAAATTAAGTGGCGCAACGAAGAATGGTAAGCGATCACCCATGGAATCAATTTTATTTATATCAAGTGACGATAAATAGGGCAATTCAAATTTGACGTATCCTCTTGGTGCATCAAGATCAGTCGGTCCAACAAACACTTTGGGTGAACGATTACCAATCGTATCCAATACAGGTATAGTTTTTGCATCCTTTAATATTGTCAATACTTCATTTATTTTATTATCGAGACGTTTTTCCATATAAACGGAAAGTGGAGGTTGATGAGGGGGTGGATATGACGTAGATGGAGTTATTTGTTCTGTAGAACTTGGTAAGCTAAATGTTTCTTGAGGCGTTGGTGTTGAAGGTAAAGTTAATTCAACTTTTGGATTCAATTTCGGTTTTACTTCTTCAAAATGTGGAACAAATGCTTCTTGTGATTCTTGTTTTGGTATTGTTTCTTGGAAGTTAGGAACAAAGTTTTGCACAACTTCTGGTTTTGGCCTTAATGATTCAAAATCGGGACTAAAGATTTGTTGTGGCAATTGTTGTTGCGATATTTCTTGAAAATCAGGAATAAACTGTTGTTGAGGGGCTAATTTTGAATCCTCAAACTTGGGAATAAATTGTTGTGAGGGTATTTGTGGTGATTCTGGTCGTGGCCTTGATTCTTGGAAATTGGGAATAAACTCTTGTTGAGGTTCAAATTTAGGAATAAACTGCGGTGGTGGTGATTGTGGAAATGTTTCTTGTCTTGGTTTTGTTTCTTGGAAACTAGGTTGGTTGTTTTGTGGTCGTGGATCTTTTCTTGGTCTTGTTTCTTGGAAATTTGGTTGGAAATTCTGTAATTGTGGTTCAGGTCTTGGTTTTGTTTCTTGAAAATTCTGCTGGAAGTTCTGTGGCTGTTGTTCTTTTCTTGGTCTTGTTTCTTGGAAATTCGTTTGGAAATTTTGGGGTGGTTCTTGCCTTGGGCGATTTCCATCAAAGTTTGAAGTAAAACTTTGAATAGATTCCTGTCTGGTTCCATCAATATTTGGTACAAATGTCGGTTTAACTTGTGGTTTTGGTTCTTTTGCTTTTCCTTCTTCTATAGATGGTTTCTGGAATCTATTATCGTGGAATTGGAAAAAGTTGGAAGGTGGATTTCTGGCATCTTCTACAAATTGATAAGACTGTGGGGCAACTGGTTGTTCGTTTTGAGGCAAAAACTCAGGACGCGTTTCTTTTAATTGAGAGGGGAAAGTAGGTTTTTCTTGTTCAAATAGTTGAGATGGTGGCGGAAAACGACCAATATCTTGTTCAAACGATGTTGGAGGCGGAGGTGGTGCGAAACGGTTAGGGTCTTGTTCAAATTGTTGACTATTCGGGAACCTAGAAGGGTCAAATGGTTGTGGTGGTCTTTGGAACTTTAGTTTACCAGTCTCGAATGGTGATTGTGTCTTGACCTCCAATTGCGATTGTTGCGGGACTGGCCTGTCAGCTTGAAATCTAGGTTTTTGTCTTTGAAGGGCTTCAATGGGCACATAAACGAGTTGTACAGATCCCTTGTTTTGTTGCTGAATAAATGGTGACTCGGGAAACGTTACTTTGTTCTCTTTTGGCGCCGGTTGTATTTGTGGTTGGGGTATGAACGTGAATTGTGGTTGGAAATTAGGAACTCCTTGAAACCTTGACTGAAATGGGTTTTGTTGATTGAAAAACGATACTGGGAATTGGATAGATTGCGGGATTTTCGGTGAATGTTGTTGATTGAAAAACTGAGTCAACGGTGCCGAAGGTGTAGTGATTTCATATGGTTCACCGGCTGGAGCTCGTTTGAAATTGTTTTGTTTGGCATTAAAATTAAACGAACGTCCAGATGGAACAGCTGGCGGATTTAGTAAACTTCCGATTTCATCAACGTTACTATCCTCATTTGGTTCTAAGTTTTTATTGCAAGATGGACAACTTGCCGTTATTGGTACCCAATCGTCTATACGTTTCTCTGCCGTATCTGGTCGGCTCCATTTGTCTAGTGACCTTACTGATTCACATAGCAAGGTCGTGCAAAGAAGCACGACCAATCTCCACCCTTTCATGATCTATTGGAACCTATAAAAAAATTAAAAAATAAAATTATATTATAAATAAACAACATACGTATACATTATTGTAGGTTTCATTCAAAATTTTGAATTGATATTATAAATGATTTGGAATTATTATTATATTTTTTTTGGTTATTGATTAAAATTATTGCTTAAATAATAAAATAACAAAATAATATTATATAAAAAAATCAAGTAATTATTAATATGTATATAATAATTTGGTTGATAGTATATATAAATTGTTTTAATAATCAAGATAAAAAAAAAGAAACAAAATTCTAGACAAAACCTGGATAATATTATAACTATATTATTATTAATATATAATAATAATATAATGCAATTATAATAGGTAGGACGTAAGTATATATATATATATTTTTATTTTTTTTTTTGGCGTTTTGTATGATCAGTTTGTAATCATAATATCTATAATAATATTACGACATAGTTGTTGAGTAACTATAATATTATTATTATTATTATTGTTATTATTATTATTAATATTATCGGTATATCACCTGAGACCGATCGCGCACATATTTTATAATATAATAATTGTCTATCGCACCGGAACTATTTGGATTTTCAAAATAATAATAATAATAATAATATGTAAGTATATCAGGTCACATTAAAATTAAATTATGAGTAAATTACCCGAAACTTCGTAATATAATGAAGCGTTTTCACCCAAGAGTTCTAGGACACCAAGTGTGACAAATATTTTCAACGCGCATTTATATTTATATATCACAATATGCAGGCAATTCGTGTTTGATGTGTAACTGTGTGAGTATACGTTAACCCACCTGGACCAATATAATATTGTAATATGTTCAGAACTTATCGTAACCGCATAAGATCAAATCGGCACGCTTTTTATGACATAATGTTCGTGAATATCTATACATAAGTAGGTACCTATTTCATTATACAGTCAAGGAAATTATTTTATAATATGCGAATCCATGAGTTTATACGTGCGTAGGTACCTACGCGAGTAATATTGGTATAGTAGTATAACAATTTATTATACGTTCATTTCATGGAAGAAGAATAATTATCATTACCTACCTATAACAAAGGTATCGCGATCGAGAAAATTGAAAAACAAAATTTAATATATTTACCTATCTATGTCTATACTAAAATCGCATAGAGGTAAAGTGTTATACTTGTAGGAGATATAATCCGATTTAGTGACGTATTCGGTGTTGGTGCAAATGCATACGTCTCACGTCTCTCTACCTATACTGCGATTTTTGTCTCTCATACACAATTATTGAAGGTCAAACGAAGAACGAATTTGCGTACACGGAGGAAGGTGTTTTAAAATTAAAAGAAGATGGCATAAAGTCCTTTTTAAAATTGTTATTTTTTAAATTAACTCAGGTTTTAACTTTACTCTGGGTCAACTACACTCAACATATTTATTAGTGTACACCCATTGTTCCCTCCTCCTCGACCTAGTCAAAATTACGCCACCAATCCGATTCTTAACATTTTTTTTTATCCGTTTTTCATTCATTATTTTTCGTAGACATAACGATGCGGGACGTCTAGTAGATTACTAATATTTGTAAAACCAGTTTAGAATAGATTTTAAATGTGTGTAATTATAGACGAATATTATAATATGCCACTTATAAATTAGAAAAAATGCTTTCTTCTTTCTTTTACTATATAAGAACACGCAGAGTTCTTTGTAATATATCACGATGTGGTCAAATAACGTATATCGATGTGTCGGTTGTAAAACAAACGTGTTTAAAACTGTAGCTCGAACCGTATACATCATAACGACGGTATATCATGTTACTATGATACAGAAAATGAAGTAGTCGTCGCCATCGTATCCGTCTCTCTAAGCGATTTAAGTATCGTAATTCATCATAATACCTATTACATGCAATTTCGAATATTTCTATTTCTACAATAATGATTAATCGCCACCGTTTACTACCTATATTAATATATTATAGCAATAAGACATATGGTCGTGACTATGAGGTTTTTTTCTTTTAGAACGCCATCATTGCGAGTATAGCTGGTATAATGATTATTAAATAGGCGTACACCACTTATTATAATTATAATACTATTGCACTGCAGTATCACGAAAAAATTTGTTTTCTCGTCAAAATCTTTTTAGTGAGATATAATCTTCTCTGCTGGCGAGAACACAATGTTATTATAATATTGTCGAGTTGTTTACTGCTCGTGAAAAAATAAATCATCTGCGCGGTCAGAGTGAAAAGACAAAATAACAATAAATCCGGTGTAGGCATCGCGGCAAAGAAAACTACCCACACCTCGACTCGGTAGGTGATCATAATAATACACGTAACTATCAGACAGGAGGTATAGATTGTTGTATAAGTCCCGACGGAAATTTTTCCTTTTTACGTGTCCCCTACGCCTCTTTAATCGTGCTATACTGAACATCGCTGTGGTGTATATATCGTTATATTATGGTTAACCGCGAATAACTGTATTAAAAAATTAAAAATTTAAAGACAACTGTTACAACAGTTATAGGTAAATATTCAAATGTTTAACTAGTATAGATCTGCCAAGTTTACAACGGTTATGACAATCAGGGCCGGCGCCAGAAAAATCTGATGGGAGACCATGCCTTCACAAAAATACCGACTACAAATAACATTTTTATTAACTTTTAAAAAATTTCTGGTAAAAAAAATAATATTGATGCAGCTAGGTGGAAAAAAAGCACTACACATTTTAATGTCAAATTATTCTTAGAACCTCAAGATACCTAACCTTGGAACAGCAATAATATTGACTACCTAATTAATAACCGAATGTTATTTGATTACGCAAGCGCATATTTATTAATTATATAAAATTATTATTGTAACATGACTTATGAGATCGATGGCCCAAATGAAATATGAAAAGTGATAAAAAAAAAGAAAAACGAAACCGTCGGGAAAACGCTCTCGACGTGCTCCACATACGCGTGTACGCTCGAGTTGTGAACCGAAGGCGAGCGCACAGTCATTAGATTTAATAATTATCATCATCGTTCTAAATGCATAATAATTTATCGCGTATGTTGTAAAGGAAAAAATATTTTTATATTTTTAAATTATACCGCGTATTATAAAGTTTTCAAAAATCAACAAACCGTGTAGGTTAGATTAGTGTTAATACCTACCAGCAGACTGTGTAGTGTGTACCTAGGTACCCATAAAACGTTTTCATATTAAATTTAGACGTGGTCGGCCGGGCGAAATCGTCGAAAGAAAGCGAACTTGTATACCCAACCTATATGCACTTAAAGATAATAAAATAATTGATACTGGCATGTCGGTTTATCAGTAACGATGAAATTGAAGTTGTCTTCACTGATTGAGGCCAGGTCGAGGTACCTGATCACTTTGTCACAGTGCAGGTTATCACGTATACAAAGTGTAAACAAAAATGGTCTTAATTTCCTATAGTGTTGGACCGCAAAACAATAACCGTCTCAATGTTCACGGACTAAGATAAAATTGACTGACATCGAATAGGCATCAACGTAGAGATGTTTGGGGGAAGAAGAATTAAGCCATTTTTCTCATTCCATCGTATAAAAACCTTACGAGTCGAATGCCATCTAATATCTAGTAGCAAAATTTCGGAAACATAATCCAACATATTTGCCGACCTCGTATTTTCCGATCATGTTCAATATGTACATGGTGTTAAAATCGCTAGATTACTCGCAGATATTGCACCCGAGCCAGTCCATCGTTATTATCTTAGTCTGAGGCGATATATTTATGCCTTTACACTAGAAGATTTTGACGAGACCGGACGGAAACATAATAAATGTTCGTATTATGCCGAGTGTATAAACAATATAATGTGTACAACGGTTTTCGTATAATGTTATAAAATGCTCGAGCGATACTCGCAGATCGGTTCGCGCGCTTCCTGCAATAGTATATTAGGTATCCGCGTGTCCGGTGTATCGGGTTTATATTTTTTTTTCTTCCTATACATATTATATAGGTACCTATTGGACGAATGGAAGAAAAATAAAAATTAGATTTGCCCGATACGTTTACCGCGCGCGCGACCGGTCGGACGACACGTACCTACGTATAAAATATAATAATAAAAATCGTATATAAATATAAATTCACGGTAAACGGAGAACGCGCTCGCGTAAGTAGGTATATATGTATAAGAAAACGAAAGCGGTCTAGCGAATGGAATTCCGACAATAATACCCATATATATGTATGTATTAAATATACACCTATACTATCACACCGGACGTGTATCGCGCGAGTTACGCAATCCCGCAGAGTTTTATAGCCGTCGCCGGGTAAAAAAAATCTAAATAAATATATACACGAGTTCGGTTTCCGTTATTAGAATAGGAAGTCGCGCCACGACACCTATATGCATCATACACGTGTATGTTGGGTACGCGCAGTAACACGCGGGTCTTGGCGGGCTCAACAGGATCTCAAATTTCATGTTTATTATTACATATTATACCGTCGAAAGTTTGTGCGCTGTTTTACACCTTGAAATTGTACTGCGAATCGTACACCTATATACGTATAACGTGATAATATCGTCTATTATTGCTCGCGGACATAATATTATCAAATTGTACGGGTCAGGTATCATACTGTACTTGATAGTTGTTTTTGAATACATGTTTAGATCAATAAATTCGTTAAAGGCGTTTGGTGACGGTTTTTCAAATTGTGTCCGATTTTGAAAAATTAGAAAAAATTAGCTAGTTTAAATTTTAATGAGCCTTTATGATGAGAACTGTCCGCTAATTTACTGCCCGATATCCGTTAAGGGAAAAGAGTAGGACGTTTTAGCCCCAAAAACCTAGACAAAACTATTTCTTTTGGTTCTTTAATATGTATAGGATACGTTTGGACCATTATTATTATTTTTTTTTTATTAGAATTATTTTTATCGTAAGTAAAAGATAAAATTCTAAACGTACATTTTTGAAAAATACAATATATTTTTCTACTATTTCCAGTAAAATAATCACATTTCTATTTCCAAAATTACTACAAACCTAGAGAATCATAATTCATAAACACAACCCCTTACGTTTTGTCCGACTAAAAAGCCTAAAAATTTACTAAAATATACACATTATATCATCACCGATCTCCTTAAATGATTAGTATATATTATATTAAGCCTCATAGAAAAGTTTTGAAACTTTTCAACTTAGCATTATCTTTGGTGTAGTTATAACAATTGTATTAATAAATCTCTAAAAATCATAGTATATTATTACGGTGTACCATATTCAGTTGACAAGAGCGGTAATATCGTTGACATCCTATACAATCGTCTAATGTCTCTATATAAACGTCAACTTATCGACAATCGTGTAAAATCAAATACAATAGAAATAAAAACCGTGTATTATTTGTACGTATAGGTAATATGTATAAACATTTATCGTGAACACAATTTTTTTATAGGCATACATTTAAAAAAAAAAAAGCCATTTGTCTCATGAATTATTTAAATATATTCGTTCGGAGACTGAATTAAATACTTTGCATTCAATGGAATGTAATAGTGAAATCGTTCAAGTACCTACCTGTATTAAAAAAAAATAATAATAAAGAAGAATGGTACAGACAAACGCGCAGAAAATTTAAAGGCGTGGTAAGGAGTGTACAATATCTAGTGTTTTTTAATTTCCCCGTAATATTATTCGGTACGTTTGTCTGCGGTTCCGATTTCGACTTAAACAAAACATTTCGTGATTTTTATTTTTCATAAATAAACGATAATATTTCAAAATATTATTGTACTTTGCATTTGTTTGTCGCATGAAAGTTTCTTATAGTGGAAAAAAAAATATGTTTTCAAATCAAAATATACAAACTATAGAAAACTGTATTACACATTCAAATTAAACGTTAAAAAAAAAAAATTAAAAAAATATTGTACTTGTATTCAAACAGTTTAAGCGTATTCGTCGCCGTTGGTTCTATTAAATTGACAGTAGCCTGTAGGTACCTAACAAATAAATATAATCGGATGATTGTACGTAGATTTGTATGTAATTTGTATACATAAATATACCATTATAGTATAGCCATTTAAAAACAGTTTATACAAAACCATTTGGCGTATTCGTTCCGGTTTCACCACTACCTATATGTATGTAAGTAGAGTATAGGAACAAAAAAAAAAAACGGTCGAAATATACACTGAATATTATAATATTATGTATTTCCTTAAATCAAAAATTGAGTGATATACACTCCTTATAATCATCTAGTGAGTTCTGAAAAATTCAAAACGTTTTATAATATTGCAAATGTACGAATCAAAATTATAAACGACTTTATCTAGCACTATATTCGTATAATCCGTCTCGACTAAAATATTACGCTCATTTGAATAGTCATTCGCGCCATAATATGAATCTGTAATGTTATGTAACCCAGCGTGTACTCTCATAAGAATAAGTGCATATTAATAGCATTAATATAGGCTACATAATATAGAAATTAAGACGCTCCTTAAAATGCAACCTACGCTACGATGATATTATGACTTGACGAAATCTCTCAGGTTTCTATACATGTAACTAAATTATATCTGTATTATTTTTATTTGAACACTGCCTTCTTATTTTTTTTTTGGTTTTTTGGCTTTTTTCGGGCCGTTGAGGCTTGTTACCGCAACCATCAAATGCCTCTGTATCTCTCTCTTATTCGCTACTTGATATCCATTTTTTACGCATTGTAACAATGTTAAGTCTTTAGCAATCCTATCTTTCTACCGTTTACTGGGCCGTCCTCTTGATCGTGTTGTGTTCAGTTCCCTAAGTATCCCTAAGTATCTGATTCGCCGTACAATTCTTCTATTACCCGGTCTGTCCTTATCTCATTTTCTCATCAGAGACATTTCGAACACTAAAATTTCTTTTAATTTTCGGAACCAATTCGAAATATTATTGTATTAGTATAATATATTATTTCTCTCGGACGCGCTTGTCTTATAAAACAATATATTTTACTCCGAATTATAAAGGACATAATAATAATATTGTTGAATTCATGTAATTTTAAATATATTTGCTAACTAAACCCGAACAGAGTATAGGTCCACAATTGATTTCGAGCACCAAAAATTACGATATATTTATTGATAAAATCACCAGCTAATGACACGGGCGTTTTTTTTTTCATTTCAGAAATTTCTCGTCTGGGCATAGTATTAGTAATACATATATATTATATACATACGATCATTACAAAAATACAAAACGATGAATAGAAATAAATATATATTATATTTCATTTTTTTTTCATAGCAAATCCTCGTTTATCACGTTTATCATTTTTTGACATATCTCATGTATATAAAAATAAAAAATACCAGCAGCAATAGTAATAATATATAAAAATAATAATCATTTCCAACCGAAGAATAGACGCGGGCGCGAGCACACACACACTTGCTTTCATTCTATCCGGGCGCGCGCGAACGATGACTAGCTGTCCTCTAGAAATCTCGCCGACCTTCACCAAGAGCCGAAGCGAAAGTTTTCCATTTTCTCGTTGACAAACGATATATTTTTTTTTCAATATTTTTTTTTTATTCCCACACGCAGTGTAGACGTTGATTACCGCCGATATATTAAGTTTGGTGCGGAGGACGGTCAAGATCGGATATCCTACCTATAATTAATAAAAATGTAAAAAATACGAGTAGGTATATCGAAGATTGAGAGTGATGCAGTGATAGAGAAAGCTGCGAGTGCGTTGAACCATCTGTTAATTGAACAACTCCGTAATAAATATTACGGAATGTGCGCAATTGTTGTTGATATTTTTTTTTTTTTTGTGATTATTAAACTAATCTCATCAGAAAATATAGTCACGATCTAAAATATGATTATTCAACTGCGAGTGCGGGACGTGAGGAACATTTTTTTCAACTGAGATTCTCAAGTTTATAATATTTTGCCGGTCGTCGAAACTTAATACACAATACTGTGTAGATTATAATATATTGTACGCAGTTTTAGCATTTTATGCATATAGGTTTAACAATAATTTTGAAGATTAGGTTAGACTAGATTTTGTTTTATCTATCAGTCTCACATGTGTTATAACAACAAAGGCATTTCACACTTTAACCATTGTGACCCTCTGGTTGAATTTATGGACCCCATATTATACATTTTATAAAGAAAAGTATTTTCACTGTATTTTTACTTTATCATTCGGTCAAGGGACATAATAAATATTTTTCTGTATAAAATAATAATAATAGGATCAATTCTCCTAAACTCATAGTTTCAGAGAATTGCAATCGTGTGAAAAAGTGCGGAATGCCTTCGAGTGCTAAATTAAACTGTCGTGACGACACCCTCTGATAAAATTATAATCCTATTAATCGATTAGTTATTTTTACAAAGTGCAATCCTTCTAATTCTATATATATAACTTAAATCTATGTTTGGTAGCTTTTTAAAACATTTTGTCTATTTTAGTATATGTACATTCAAAATTTCATTTACTTGTATTGAAAATTACATAAAATGGTTTTAAGCTCTTCTTCTCTGAGACCAAAGATACGTTTTAAAAAAAAGTTTGTTCGATGCTATTAAAGTGAATTTATCGTGCTTAATCATATTAATAAACGTATTTAATGTGAAATTCTATCAAATCCAAATTACTTGCATACATTAACATTGGCGTCCGAAATTCGCGTATTTGATTAGTGCTGGACAATATATGATAATGGGTACAACAATGTTGACAAAGAATGTTCATTTTTTTCACAAAAATTATATTATTTTTATTGATACAAATGTAGTGTAGGTATATACATATATATATATGTCTTTGATTAATACTGTACAAAAATCGAAAGAAAAAAAATTAATGATCCACAACGAATTGATCGAACAAAATTGATCACGTGTTTGCTCTACAGCTGCATAACCCTCTATAAACCTATATATATATACATAGTTACCTACTCGGGTACCTATATACTTATATTAGAAAATAAACCTACTTGTATTTTATTTGTCTTGAACGGTCTTGACAAAACACGAATAAATAAATCTATCGGAACAAATTACCATCGAATGATATACCTACGTACAACATATTACAAATTATATAATGATAATATAGCTGATTCAATTAAATTTTACTTCACGGGCACATGAATTTTAAAATGAAATTTCTTAACACTGTATAGATATGTTATTTTTTGTTCGTATTTAATGTTAGAAAACGTACTTGTAAATGATAATGTACAGTATTATAACTAGATTAATATCATATTTTTCCCCTGTTTAAAAATTATTTTTCCTGTTTTTTTTTTTAAATATATGAATTTTTAATTGAATATACAGTAAAATATATAATATCGTTATAATTAAATATTATTAGTATCCAACGCAGTAGTTATTAAATTAAAATATCGAAATTACGATTTGCAACTACAATTTTGAATTTTGAATCACTTACTTAAATTTGATTAAAAATGCGATTTATTCAATATAGTATTATTCGCCTGCAATAATTAGCGATCAATATAATTCAAAAAAATGTCTTTGTTATTTTATTATAAATACGTAAATGAAGAAATAATATACCATTGTTAATACGATTTTTTTTCCTATTGATATAGTATAGATTTAGTGTCGCATGGTACAATGTGTCAAATTGAGTTTATTCCACAAAAAAATAAAAATAAATTATATCGCAGTATATGTCTCACGCACACTATTCACTGATTTATAATATTACGAAAACCAATATATACGATTAAACTCAAATAGGTAATATTACTAATACCTATTTTATAACTGCAACTAGTAATATAAAAAAAATCATGTCTTAAAAAAAAAAAAATTTCCTTATTCCTACCAAAACACCGTACCAAATTGAGGTGTTTAAGTAACTATAATAATATTAATCAATTAGAAACATTTAATATAGATACTTTTTCAACAAACATTATACTTATCATTGTTGATAAATTAAAATTCCAAAGTGCGTATCAATCGAATTTTTTACTTTTTAGAATTATTAGCTAATCTAATATAATCAATTGAGTTTACATACTAAAAACTAATAATTTAAGGGGGGAAGTTACAGAGAAAGCAGAATATATACATGTAAGTAATTTAATTTATATCGTTCATAACGAAAAACGAGCAAAGTTCGGTTAAAAATATATTTTGAAATGCCATGATTTTCATCAAAACTATTACTTGAACTTGAAATTTAACTACTATATTATTACGTTCAATTACTAGAAAAAACTCGACAAATTTCAAATAGTCTATTAATAATAAATAGCTCGAAAATAATTTTTCCACGTCTATATTATAGAAAAGGCTAACATCAATATTCCGTGATAATGTCAGGTCTACAAACAAAAAAAAAAAATTCGAAAATAACAAAAACCGCTATTGCGTAAATTTTCCTAATTATTAAGAAAGCTTTAAAGGTTGATTGTATTTAAAGATTTTAGATCTATAGGTACCTGCAGAAACCACGCTTGAAGTTGATGATCGACGTAAGATTTCCGGTAGAAAAATTGTCTTCTGACAAGAAAAAAAACACGCACATGTCATCATCATACGGGATATTATACCGTGTTCTACGGAATATTTTATACTATATTACGTTAAGGAAATAAATAGAATACGGCGAGACACCCTGTATAAAGTAAAACCAATGCTTACACATTCCTCGATTCGCTCAAAATCTAAAAATAATGATTGGAATAATATTCGTATGAAACTGATTGAACGTTATACATATGCCTATGTGTAATGGAAAACGGTTAACGATACCATTTTCTTCGCGACGAATAGTGATCGGTCGATCGACGATCAATGGGTGTAACGGGTGTATAAAAACTCTCTTCTTCTGAATAATAATAATAATAATAATAATAATAATAATAATAATACCTATAATATAATAATCGATTCTTATAAACGACTGCTATGCACGATGGCGCCGGAACTTGAAAACTGTGAAAGCATGGTAACGACGACGACGACGATGACGATTATGACGTTATTGACGAATGGAAATTTCCAATTAAAATACCCATCAAAGCGTTAATAAAATCAAAATTATGATTTCATATCCGTCGTTATAATATTATAGGTATGGGTACCTATAGCTTGACGATCCGGTGCACCCATAAGAAGTATATTTACTAAAAATAATGAAAATATAATATATATATTATCTCCTTCAACACGACCGAATGATCATAATGATGATACAAAACTTGCACAACACCCATGAATCTATGTGCATAAGACATCGCGAATAATATTTTCGTTTCCTTTTAAATTTGCCATTCGTTTCGGTCCTATCCTGTGCAGTCTAAGCATTTTACGCTGCGGAATAACTGCGTGTATTATTATTATAGTTAATATAATAATTACGTTACAAAAACTACCTACACACACACACACACACACATGAACATACACATACACATGTGACATCTAACCAAAAACACAATGCAAAAAAAAAACATAATATGTATGATGACTACGGTTATGTAAAAATAATAACAATAATAATAATATAGGTATATATAATCCTATATCACCCGCTGTGTGACCAAAACATTAAAAACGAAAAAAAAAATGGAACATAAGAGAGCATATTATATTATACAAATAATAAAATATAATAAATACCAACAATGACCATCACCATAACGACGTGGTATCATAATAATCACAATATACGTATATATAATAACATGAACACTCGTATATTTCCACTAGGTATAATTGTGTCTTCTATATGGATTGTTAGATCAAGTACCTACATCTAACTGCCAGTTGTAGTTAAGGGGGATAACGTAACCGTATTTTTTTTTGTATACCTAATAATGCAATTATTTTTTTTCAAATAATATGTGTGTACGGTCTATATAATAACAATGTAATACTTTGATCCCGAGAGACTTTAACGCTCATATCCTCTGCTGCAGCAGTTGTACAAAACTACAATAAAATATGAATTGCTAAATGCAAAAAGTGCACGTATTCAAATTGTATAATATTATCGAGGAAAAAAAATTGAAAAAAAAATTTCTCATTAATAATTGTAATGTCATAAAGTGTCAGATATTATCTAAAAGTTTCTACAGCCATTTTATGAAATATTATAAAACTATAGTCACCTAAGATATTTTTTGTCCTTCTTGAAAAGTTTTAAAATACGTACCCTTTCTGCGGTAATCAGGTAATTATTATTCAGTCAATATAATAATAATTATCATTCGGGGCATTTTACGTATTAGTTAACGCAACTCTAATACGTTCGAGTAAAGGTCATGTGAAAATTATTTAACACTTGCATTGTATAAAATGCAGTGAAGTATATTATATTTTATTCAAAGAACTAAACAATAAAGATTTCGCACGTTTTTTGGATTAAATGCGCACACTTTGGGTCAAGGTGTATGTTGAAAATTAATGACAAAACCGGTGGCTCGTATTAAAAACATAAATAAAACGCGCAATTGCTATTCTGATTATTGTTATTCTTATATAAGGAAAAGAATAAATGTGAAATTAAACGAATCGAACGTCAAAATGCTCGTAAACTGCAGTTTAAATATTATATTATTGAGAAAAGTGAAGAATATTATTTCACAAGTTATTAAAAATCCATTTCCAAAAAAAATATTTCATCACTGATAACTTTAAATAAAACTTGAAGTATTAATTTTTATTATATTATATTGTTAAAACCGTAATCATTTTTGGATTCTGTGTAAAGCGAGAAATGTATTTAATGTTAGGTATACATGCAATAATATTGTAACAGTACTATTTCGGTATTATTGTTTTATTCTAATATATACATATTTAGGATCCCTCTGTGTTTTAATGTCATATATATAACAAGAACGTTGCCAAGTAATACCTGATGACCTAAAATGAATTAAAAAATAGTTTCTTTAACTATGGGCACTAAACTTGATATTAAAAAAAATATATATATTTCTTTTTTAAATGTTTCATGTTTATTACTAAGCGATTTGATAAATTGCTAGTTTAACAGTGATTACTGCAAATTAATGCTTATTCTTAACTGCCCATACTTAAAATCGGTTCCTATTAGTTTAATAAGTCACTATATTCAGTGGCGTACCCAAGATTTTTCGATGAGAGGGGGTTATCATATTAAATTAAATGTATACTATTATATATGTATTATGAGAAAAATATATCTATATTTATTGTACAAAAAAAAACTTTTTTTCTTGGGATTATTTTGTAAAATACACAATTATATTATTGTAAAATTAGTTGTACTTGGTCGAATAAGTAGTGTTAATGTGCATTATGCAATGACTATTATTTTGTTAGATTTTTTTTTTTTTGTGTAGCTAATAAAGTAGGGGTTAAAGCTACCTTGGCTCCTTTTAGTCACCTAACCTCTGGATACGCCATTGACTATATTGTTATTACGGTAGTTTCGACACAATTTTTGGTATTTAGAATAATATAATATGTCGTTTGTCTTTTAGCTACATAATCGAAATTATAATAAGTATTGTAATAGTGAAAAAAGAATATCATGATATAGTTTATACGTGTAAATATAGAATCAATAATATTTAACACTGAGATTTATTTTAGTGATCAGTGATTTAAAAGCACAAATGTTTATTTTGTATTATTTTAATAAAACCTATACTGAACCTATATTCTCGGTATTCAAGGTATTGATGAATAAATTGCTTAGGTTAAACACTGAGACGGAATCAAAATCGAACGAGGTTTCCATCATTCGCTCATTAAACTAGTATATTTAATTTCTTTAATTCCTTTATTTCCTTTTAAAGGTAACACAAAATATTTCTATCCAGTGACTTCGGATTGAAATAGGATTTCCAGGAGACGCTAAGGAATACTGAAATACACATTTTTTGATAATTTTCAAATTTTTAAACTTTATATTGTGCGTATGCGCAGTGTAACATGTATTTTAAATGTATTTTAAACTCCACATTTGAATAGACTAAAATTTTTTTTAATTCATTTTGATCTTTTAACTATGACTAAAAAGAAAATTGACTGAATGACAACGAGTTAAACTTTCAATTTAAATCAATTAGTTTATTAAGAAAGCTTTCAACAAATTGACAAAATGTCTGTAATTTCAATTGTTTATTAAATATTTAACACCAATACTTATCTTATAAATTGTTCAAAATTTAGCCCATAATCAACCATACATAACTGCAGTGATCGGTGCCTTACTCAATTAATTCTGTCAACTTGTTTAAAATTTTCTTAATAAATTATTTTATCCAAATCTGGTGTTTAAAATACATGTCACCATATTAAATTATGCAATTTGTATTGCGCATGCGCACAATTAAAAGTCTAAATATTTTAAAATGTTCAAAAAATCGGTATTTCAGTATTCCCTAGCTCCTCATGGAAACTATATTTCAATCTGAAATCACTCAACAGAAATATTTCATGGTATCTTTTTAATTTAAGTTCGGGTTATGTACAGTCTATTTATCCGATTATTAAGAAATAGGTACTCGTTTTAATATTTGATTTATATAACAAAAGAACAAATTAATCGACCTTTCGTTTACTACAAAACGACTTTTTAATACAAATATTCTATTGGACGGCGATCATCAATTTTTTACACTTTTTTGTGTATTACTTAGAGAATAAAACGATCTAAAATAAAAACGTATATTACTCTGGTCTACAAGAACATTATAATTTATAATTTGGAAGTCTGGGTTTTATGATAATACGCGACAATAAAATGGGAAAACCAAAATTCACTTGAACTTGATTATTGTTTTACTGCGGGGCGTATATAAATGTATTTTCTAAATAATTTATAACAACTACGTCGTAAAAATAATAAACCGGTCGGATTATTGACTTGAACTTGTCAACTTTTACAGCGTATAAAGTTATACGTATTATATTTGCGGCTTGGACGCTTGGTACAAAAATGACAAATACATTATTATTATTATTTTTTTTTTTTTAATAAAATAAAAAATCCAAATTGAAAGTTGCAAAAAAATAAAATTAATTTCTAAAACTTCCGATAATCTAACGTAAAGGCCGTAATTATTGTTATAAGTGGTTGTTTTTTTTTTATTTTTCGACATTGGCCCTTCTCGCATCAAGCCACGCAGGTATTATGTACGCGATGATTCCGTAACAATAAAAACTTAGAAAAAATACTCACGAAAATCCTAGTGCGTTGCCAGTGAGTTCGTGCGGCGCGCGGCTTGGGGTGAAACGCCGACGTGGGTCTGCGGGATCTGAGCAGCGTGGAAAAAATCGAGACGGAATAATAAAATAAATAGTGTAATTCGATCGCGGAATATTATACGAAATAATATTTATATTAAATTTATATTGTACAGACGCGGACGCAAATAATTATGCAGTGCGTCAAACGCGAACTCGAACGGCGGACGATCGCGAGCGTATTGATTCGAATGCGAGCGCGCGGCGGAATGTTCGACGTACGCGGAGCGCTGGAGAACGCGTTTTGGAAGGACCGGCGGCGGCGAGACGTCGGAGCAAACCGCGGCAGGGCGCGCGTGGAGCGGGAATTAGTGGCGGACGGACGCCGCCGTGACGAAGAAAGCGCGGGACGGGCGAGGTGCGTCGGCCGCGTAGTCGTCTCGCGCGGTCGGAAAGGAAAAGTGAAGAGCCCCGTACGAGTGCGTACAGCGTGTGCGTGTCTTCGGCATTGGCAGCCGTTTCAAGGTCGAGCGCCGCAACACGTTTTTTACCTGGAAATAACGTCTACAGAACACCGTCCCTTTTATTGTTACTATTATAATTTTTTTTTTTTTTCGGCGTCGGAATTCTCTCGCCGGGCGACCTCTATACGTACATAGCTGGTATCTGCTTCAACGACGACAACAACAATAATGGTATCGTAACATTTAATCGACCATCGTTTTCTTCGACGCATTTGTTTTGTGTAAGATCTTAAGGTTTCTTTATGCACCACTTATTCGTTTCGTTCATAATTTATTCATCGTGTCATGTTAAAAATCCGACAGTTTGTTGGCTCCGAGTTTAGTTACTCATTTGATCAACCACGTTTCCCCAGATGTTATCTCCGAGTTGAATATTTTTCAAACGTCTGATACAGTGTAGTTACACGACTGTCACATATAATATTAACAAATTTTCAAGTTTTAAATAATAATTCTGTTAATAACAGCATATGAAATACAAATTATTTAATTGTGATACAGCTTGTCCGAAGCAACCATTAACTACCAGCAACCAAGTTCGGACTAGCTTAACCAGGGTTATGTGATTAACAGACGATTGACGGCACTATGCTTATTTTGAACGACACGATGTAGTGTGAATTGTGAAGGTACCTTTAAGTAATATTTTGTTTTTAGCTAACTTGTGGTTTTCTATAAATACCAACTTAGTTATGATTATTATTATTATATTAATATATTTACCAAACGATGGATCCCAATCAGGCACGTAGACAGGGGGGGCGGGGTGCATGGGGTCTGGACCTATCCTCCCCCTCAAAATTATCACCAAAAAATTAGATTATTGGTGAAATTAATAATAAATGATAATAAATAAATTTAAAAAGAAAAAAAGAAAAAGAAAATTCAACAATTTTTTCAATAATCATGAATTATTTACTTCGTCTTTTGAAAATTCGTTTGCACGTTACTGAGAAACTTACAGAAAAAATCGTTAAGTAGTTATCGTGATAAAATCATTGGCCTAGAAAATAGAAAAGTAAACAAATCAAAAATTCCTCGAGTTTTCGTATCAATGAAAGTATTTAAGACCACGACAAGTTTGGGAATTCTCATAGAATTCCCAAATTAAATTGTATACAGTGAATAAAATTAAAAAATACATCGGGCAACAACGTATCATCAATAAATTGAATTAATAAAGTCAGATTATTCCAGATTAAAACACTCCGTAATTTGAGATAATAACTAATAATCTTTGCGGTTGACGGTTTAGAAATCGTTTAAACTATACAGCATACTCAAAAAAAAAAAACTAATCGGGTGCACACAACACATAATTCTCATTATTAAATCAGAGACCAAAAGAACACGCCCCCATCACGATTTGACATCGTTAAATCGATTTCGTTTCTCTTAGACATTACCTAGATAAAATTATTATTATTAATGTATGAACTATGCGTAAAATGTATTTATGGAGTAAGACTTAATTTATATAAGTATTAAGTATCTATACATTATAGTCTATTGACGTACAATTGTTTTCTATTGTCTTTAATTATGGAAATTACGATAAAACGTAGGAACATTTTAATAATTTTATATTCACGGTCAAAAGAAAAAAAATTTAACGCGGACCACATATACGTAATATTATAATATTTATGACTTATGACACTCCACTATAGCTTGGACCACCGTGATTCGTTATGTAAATTACATTTAAAAATGACGTCATATTACTTATTAAGATTTACAATTCTGAACTAAGGATAAATTTATTTTTGTACCTATTTATGTATTTATTATAATTAAAGAACTTGAAGTGTCTGTGTCGTACATATTTTAGTGTTTTACACCAAAAGAGTTTAATAATTTATACTTATACAACGTATATTGTAGATGAATATAGTAGAGATGGTAGAATATACAAATACATAGGTGATTTAGTTTATATGGTGTGTGCTACGATCAATAATTTCTAAACGTAAATTCTGAGCGAAGTATAGGATTCGACGTGGTTTCCCTTGTCGCCAACCTATAAATCAATAATAAAAAAATATTTTACCTAGGGGTGAACTACTGAAAATAAATGTTTCGAAAAAGTACTACTGTGCAGAAATGTCGTATCTTTCGAGATACTGCGTAAAAAAAAAATTGGAGCATGTGCCTAACTAAAAAAGTGTTTTCGAAAGGAAAGAAATTTATATTCTGGTATATAGAGTATTGTAAATTTCAAATAGTTTTAAAATTAAGGATACCATTAGGTGAAAGATCCACATCTTTTATGAATTTAAACGATCATAAGAGGCTTCTAAGTGATAAATGTTAAAAATTTAAACAAAATATTTTGATAAACACAAATGCCGAGCATTATAGTCAAAAATGAGTTGTAAAAAAACATATAAATTATAAGTAAAGGCAATTCAAAGTGTGAAGTTATGATAATAAGTACATTACAATATTTTTCTGTACCTATGTTTTTCTAAAGTTTTTTGAGAAATGTTTGTTTTCTCGACATCTAACTAATACTTGCAAAGTTTATTTTGCGGTTAGGTTTTACATGCATTCATTTGATCCGTGAAAATATCGCTGTGTTTATTGACCTCCCATTAAAGTGCGCGTCTTTAACCGCAAAAAAAAAAAGCGTCTTCATATAACCAGTAGGTAGGTACTAACATTCTTCGTTCCACTCAAAATATACGTATAAACATTATTATCAAGGACTTATGTTATGTCTTTATAATAGCGAGTTTTCTTCATCTCTCTCCATTTATGTATATATATATATTATATTATATTTATAGCGTACATCGATTCTCTGGGTGTATATAATATAATAAAATGTTATTATTTTTTATAGTGTTTTTTTTTTGTTCCATGAACATACACCTACGTGCACCTACAATACTCGATCGTGCCGGGTAAAAATCGCATTATCAGTTATTATTAACATAATGTACGTACGTATATGCATAATACTACGCGTCTAAGTTAATGGTAATAAGCCAAACGCACGTTAAATCGAGAAAAAAAACAATTATAGAAAATCCGAATTAAATTACTCGGAATTTGACGAGAAACACACATACGCATAATTTAAGTGAACTAGTATATATTTTTTGGAATTTTTGTAATCTATTAATATTTTTTTTGTAAGTTCATTCGAAATTTGTTCATGTCATATATAAACAACGAGAATCAAAATTATATTACATAATATATTCCTTATAGTAGATTATGTTGTTAAAAATTGCATCATTTGTTTTGCTTATGTTAATGTATTAATGTGTAATAAGCAATTTTTGAATCACATCCTCCAGACGAAAACGTTTCGATTTTTGCATGCGTTTGGTTTTTAGCGCACTCTTTTTATATTGTACTATTATACTAGCTGTCTCGCTTGAAGTTGTGCTCGTGACAAAAGAAACAATATTAATTTTTTTCTTTCGTTAGTTTTAACTTTTTTTTTATTACGTTTTTTTTGCACCGAAGTAAATGTAAAGTAAATCAACAAGAATAATTCGATTTTTATACCAAAACCATGTGTCAGTTCACCTTTAAAATTTGAATTCGTGGTGGGGGTCTTTTTTTGATTTTCTAAGTAATTTTCATAATAATTGGGAAAACCAAAAAAAAAACGAAAAATGAAAATTTACGGCGTCACGAATTCCTTTATTTTAAATTTTTACGGCTTATGTTTTCTACCAGAAATATTGCTTCAATATACAAACAACAAAAGGCGTTTCTTATTACATTTTTAAAGTATTTGACGAGTAAAAGATTCTATTTTTGATTTTCAGTGTGTTTTTTTTAATGATTGAGCGAAACCGAATAAAAACGTAGTTCGGAATAATTCAGTTAAAAATATTCATAGAGACTTAAATAGTTGACAGAAAACTGATATTTATTTTTTCTAGACATGGTTAAACTTTCAGAATATTTGAGCTATTTTTGAGTTATTTATAGGTATTTTAATTTTGCGAGTTTTTGACGTAATTTTTATTTGGTACGTACTTGTAAATATATTGTTAGACCAAACAAAAATGCTTGAAATTTAACAGGAGGTAAGTCGTAAAAAAAATCTACGAGTAGTATAACGTTAGAGATTTTTTTTAAAAATTTTAATATCAAATTTTAACGAAAATCGTAAATATTACGGCCTATCAAAGCATGTATACAACCAAACACCGCTTATAATCGTTTTTCCTTAGAAATGATTATTCCTTGGTTCCCTCTATATCCTACCTTCCCTACTTCTCATCTACAACAGTGGCCCACCCATTGTGCGAAGTATGTCCGAAGTCCCACATTGTTCGTATTTTTAAACAATGGTTTTACATCTGAATACAAAATATGCGCGTGAACATGGATTATCAAGTTATAAGAATGTGACAATTTTTTTTAAAAAAGATTCGTTTTTTCCTCTGTTTTATCGAAATTCACACCTTTCGTTCTGCAACCATTATATAATACTGCCCGTTCACAACAATAAAATATAATAATGTATAATATAATACGACCAGTGCGTAAATCACAGCGTGTATTCGGAATAGGTTATACTGGAATGCACTACGCTGTTTGTATAAATCGTATCGATTTCAAGTCAATGTGTTCAACTATTATTGTGTATTGGTAAAGGACAAAAAATAAACGTTAAATATTCGATATCGCATTCGATGAAAATGATTGTGTTGGTAGTATTGGAGATTTTTTACGATGAATTTATTCCTCGAACGGAAATAAATAGCTAAGTATTCGAAAAAATAT